ATAAGTCTTCTATATCCAACAATTAAATCATCCTACAGCTGTGTTAAGGTGGTATTTTAAGAGCAATTTGCACTGCTGTTGCGTCTGACAATATTTTTTTAATTCACTTTAAATTGGCAATCTATGTACATACTGTTATTTGGACGTCTTAAAACAGAGTTAATGTTAGACACGTCATAATCTTTTTACTAGAAGTATTACTGTTGTTTTACTAATAAAAAATCTACGCTATTAAACAAACTGTAGGTAAAAAAATCTACGCTATTAAATAATAAGCAAGTGTTTTATTTAGGCAATTATATCATAGAAAAAGATTGAATTTAATTCCATTTACGCGATCTTTAGCTCCATGATTGAAGCAGACAATTATGCAGCCTTTCAGTTTTAACGCCTGCTTAGTGGTGATTTCAAATATGTTTTTATAACACAAAACGATTATATATTATAAAAGGATTTTGAGGAAAAATTTATAAGAAAGTATTTTAACGTTTACAGTACAATGAGATGGGGTCCGGCGAGAAAGAAATATAAAAAAAATATAATTAAGTAGTTTTTATTGGGTTTAGTATGGGGATGTACTGTTTGTTAAGCGAAACATAAATTTTCGTTTTGGCAGAGGTACTTTAACATATTTCCACGAATCTTCGCGAGGTGGCTTAGCTTTGCATACAGTACACTGGAAAGTAAATAATATGAGACTGTTATAGTTTTAAGTTTAAACTAGTCCAAAATTTTAACAATTTGCTTATTAGCTGGGTCGTTTAAATCATATTTAAACTTTTCGCTATTGTATTTAAAAAGCGTATTAAATTGTCTAAGTGCGGCCGCAACAGAATATATATTCCTATTCATATCGTTGTCTTCTAGTGGTTCAATGCGTTTCTTTATGGCCTACGGTAAAGTAAAAAACCACACTAGTGTACACCTGTTAGTTAATGATAACTTGATTTAGATCAAAGCTTTTAGCCAATTATGTAATTCTTATAAACGGTTAGTGACCTACTAATACATTCAATAATGGTATTCATAAAGTAGAAATAATTTATACTTACACAATATGCAATATTTATTACCAATAAAATAAAACAAAATGTGGTTAACTTCATGTTATTGAATATAGTCAGTGGAGCGAGTTACTACTTCAATTGTTTCTTGGTTAATAAAATGCAATTTCACAATGTAATTGAATTTTTATTGTTATTTACTACATAATTTACAGTTATATTTGCAGAAATAGATTTAAAAAAAGTATAAGTATTAACCTTATGTACACTCATTCCTTTTGTTGTATGAACAACATAAAATAACTTAGTGTTACTTGAAACTGGCACATTGTTAAGACTATTGCCATAAAAAATAACTTGCTTAAGGCATAGGCACTGAATAATCACTAAGGGAATTATAGTGTAGTTTTTATTTAAAATTTTATATTTCTATTCATTCCTTCTTAAGAATATTTCTCGAGGAATCATGTACACATTACAAGTTTGCAATTGGTTTATTTACCAATGAGCGTTCAGACATGTGTGTAGAGTTCTGTAGGTACATACAAAATAATAAAATAAAGCGGTTTCCTTAAGAATCTTTATAAATATAATATTTTGAAAATCTTTCAATACATTGATGATATTCTAGATACTAGGTTGGGCTATTAATATTATCTTTAAATATTAAAAAACGTACTATTTTATATATTTATTTACTGCACTTCGGGAATATTTATAGCTGGTATACAAGTAGTGAAGGCATGAGCACGACTTAATGTATTGTTGGGAGGAATAAGGCAGGTTCCAATACATTCTCCATATGAGTGAAAGTTGTTTTGATTACCTCCACAGCCTGAGTAGAGATGCTGTCTGCAGGTTCTGTAAAAATAAATATTAGGTCCTTACAAAAAAAATTGAAATTATCAAAATTTCGAAAAAAATGGTAATCTGTTGAAGCAACGTCCGGGGAGTATGGTGGATGTCTTAGACATTCCAATTAAAGCTACTCTAATTTGATAGCAGTCTGTTGTGCAGTGTGTGGTCTAACGTTGTCGTGAAGCAGCAGTGGCATTGAGCGATTGACAAGCGTTGGTTGTTTAGCAGCTTGCTTTTCCATCATGGTTTGCAGTTTCTGACAATAGACATCTGCCGTAATCGTCTGGCCAGCTTTAAGAAAGTTATAGTGAACGACCCCGGCCACAGCAACCGCTCACAAGTAACTTTTTCAAGTAAATTTTCGCTTTGGGCACGTTTTGGCTGGTACGGCTGGGTTCAGCCATTGCAATGAGCGCTTCCGATTAAGGTACAGGATCCACTTTTTATTTTATATTTTAAAGAAACATATTAATCTTAAAGTATCTACACATATTGACACAGTTAAGGAGTTTATATAAACAAATATACAGCTAACTTTAATATAGATTATAATATGTTAAGGAACATATGAACTATTTACCAAATATTTTTTTCAGTCAAGGGACAATTAATTTTGATAACAAGATTAAACAAAAATATGTTTAACTAAAAACTAAATTTAGAATATGTTACTTACTTAGAAAGTGTGTCCCATGCCCAACGATTATAATACCCAAAACAGCTACCATAGTCAAATGCCAGTGAACAAAAGTATGGTATTTTAACTGTAAAGGAAATTTTATTATAAGGAAATAAAAATAGTAATCAATTAAAAATCAAATCCTTATCATATTTAAGTAAACTTTATCTTGTTCAAAACATAAGCTTATTTCTAAAATTAATGTTTTGTTATTAAATTCCTAACATATCAAAAAAAAACTTTGGATGGAACATCAAGCATTTACTTGCTACAAAAGGAATTGAATAATACTATCTGAAAATAATCAACTGGATCATGATGAGTCACAATTTTATATAATTAATTTAAAAGATTCTAAAAAACATCTTATCATTACGTGTAGCATTATGGACATCTAAATAGCAGTAATCATGGCAATCTTTCTTTGTGTCAAACCTATTTCCATTGCCCTGGCATCCTCCCCAGAAGAACCGGTAACATTTACTCTGTCTGACATCATAGTACCATTGTATTATATCTGCACGACAGGGCCCAATGTCAGGTCGTAGGAAACAAGTTTTGTGCCTGGCTGGAAGACAAGAGTAGAGATACTTCTTTAGAACACCATCTTAATTTTAAGGTTATTTGTATTTGATTACTTTATATTTATAAATACAGTTGTTCTTTGTAGTGTTGGTATTGCATGGTTCAAGGGAAAACAGCACTATATATATAATACCAAAAATATGAAAGATTGCATTTAAACCAAGGCCCTAAAACATATTTAAGGAATATCTATAGATTTCTTAAAAATAACGCTTTTAAGATATTATTTAACAAAAAATTTAACTATTGTTATAACTTTAATCTTGTCAATGAAATATATATATAACATACCCTTTAGTGTTTGATTAAATTGTATACATAGTCTTTTAACATTAGGGTCTCTTGTAGTTGTAATTTTACGGGTATGTTGCCTTTTATGTTTTTTACGGCAATATCCTGAGAAAAGTAATAAAATGCTGATTATTATCACTACTTGAATTTTGTTGTTTTTGCCACTAGAAAATATGCTTTCTTCCATAACTAAGAAGTATTTGTTATTTTTAAAACAAACTTGTAAAATATTATTTAACGAGTATATTATTTTTATATCCCATGATCGTAAAATTGGAACACTTTCAATAGGAGTTTTATTGCTTATTGGTTGGTGTGAAAATGAAAACTACTTTCTTTTGCTTCTTTTTTATGTTGCAGCGTACCAATTTTGATGTATTACAACTATAGAAAGGAATCGAGTAATAATTAAAATTAATAACCTCTTTATTTTAAGATTCGGTACAAATTAGCTGTCTCTACTTCACTCGCCCATAAGTTGTTGCCTATCTTCTGGACGTTTTTTCGAAATAATTTAATATTTTTGCGAAATTATTAAGTCTTAAGTTCTTAACGCTGTATAAGCCTGACAAGTGACAACATCTATAAGATTCAAAATACAAATGAGTGGTTTCATAACTTTTCTACTTCAAACTCAAAGTTCAAATAAAAGAGCACATAAAAATAAAGATTGCAGGAAATAGGACCGCATCCTATTCGAATATCAAAATAACAGTTGAAATTTGGTCAATTATCATAATAAGAAAAAAATTAATGCTTGACACTAACAAAACCAACACTCCGTGAGTTGACATAAAACTTGTATGTCATCTCACGGTTATTTTTTTATGAATAATAGAATAATTATGGAAATTACGTTAACAGAATTTTACAGCTTAAAGTAGTCATGGTTTTCCAACGCTTCTTTTTACTACTGTGACAGGAGCATGACAAGATCAATAAGACATATTAAAACTCACAACTGACGTTTGACGTTTCATATATATATATAACAATTCGTTTTCGTTTAAAAACAGCTGGCATTAACTTCGAAGAAGAAAAAATGTTATTGCTAATTATTAGATTAATAAAAATAACTTTAATTCTTCTTCTCCTAATTCCTAAGCTTTAATTAATGTAAAAAAAATTAATGAGGGCACCGAAAAACATATATGTAATAATTATTGTACAGCATAAACAACACAAGCACACAGCAAACACCAAACAGTTGTACAGTTTACCGAAGTAGTTCAAGACAAACGTAGTTTACAACCTAAACGGTGGGTGGGGTGCGTGTGCGCTTTTTGCTCGTAGTTAGGCGATCCGATCCGGTATCGGGATTTATCCTTATTGTACTTTATTGTTATTCTGTTCAGAACTATCCGATCGCTCTCTCGGCAAACGTGTTTGCAACGGTTTCATAATTTATTACTTTTTCATTCTTGTAAGTTGTTAACAAAGCGTTGTGATTTAGTAAATTAATATGCCAATATGATGTATAAAGAGACAATAGTTTATTTAACAGACACGTCTTTTGTTCCTTTTTGCAAAAGTGTTAGAAATTAAAAATATCAGTTATTAATTAATTGAAACAAACTAACAGTATGTATATCAATGACCTAGTGTATAATATTCTTTTTTTTAATCTTATTTATTATGTGGTTGAAGCTGCGGATGTTAAGGTAACTTACCTTTTTTTTAAGTTTTTTAGTATGTTTTTAAAATATGGAGTTATCTACAAAATATATGATATGAATTTTAACAAAATTTAAATTTAAAGCTTAGCGAATAATGTATTTTTTAATCATGCTTAATATATAACAAATGCGTAATTGACTTTACAAGATATTTATGCATTTCTTTTTTGCTTCTGTAACTAGTGAGTCATGTATTTGGCTTATCAACGCAGTTAGGATGTCGCCGGTGTGATTACCGAGGAAAAGTAGTAAACTGTTTCAGTAGAGAACAAAGTAAAAGTCCTCAATTAAAATTGTACACTTTTTCATTACAATAATATTATATTTAATACACACATAGAAAATAAAATCAGTTTTTTAGGTACGTTTTACACAAATTAATTTTTAATATAAATAATAACAATTTTATACAGAAATTCATTTAAATAACAATTACCTAGTGTTTAGTTAATATAATAAATATTATATACTGTCTACGATCAATGCTTTTACAAAAATAAATCATGACCTGTTATGATTTTTTAGCCTAATTTAATATACATATATAATAACAATATTTTATATTAATAAAGAAAGGCCAAAGGGAGGAAATCTATTTAAAAGTAATTACCCTATTAACGCAAATACAAAACATGTAATAATTATTGATTGCTTGAATTAATAATTATAAAGTGACTTATTATCGTATGTAATTGATAATAACTTATAATTATACTATTTAATATATTTATTTGATTGATGGGACAACTAACTGCAACCCAATTGCGTACTTTTAAACACTTCGAAAAATCAATCGCAAAGTACCTATTTACGGTGCAAGAATTATGTGTATGGTTTCTCTGAATAGTACTTGATTGCCAAGCTTGAATTGGCAATACTTACGTCGTAGTGTACTGAATACAAATTGAAAAATTGAATACCTTATTTTTGTATTAATCAACTATTCAAACTTTACATAAACATGACCGCAAGTTGTATCAAGACATAGTTTAAACATTTTATTTACAATAATAGATCTTCTGAATGCTTTTATTATGTCTTTAATTGTTTAATGTATGTCAATCTAATATAAAGTGTGAGTTTTATTATATACACACAACTAATGTATGTTGTTTGATTTCAAGAATACAATAAAAACAAAAAACATTTAACCACATTAAAATAACGTAGTTGAATTGATCGATGCTTACGGTAAGAGAGTCGTGAACTATGATTCACGAATGTCAAAAACAAAATGAGTCTGACATACGAGAGTCATAGTTATAAGTCTTGTTTCTGAATATCACTCGTACAGTCGTGGTCAACGAGAGACAGCCAAAGTAATATTGTGATATCTATTTGTTACAGCCAATAAGTGATTCCTGCGTAAATCGTGTCGCAGCTTGCGAAGCTACCAGTGGGACCCATAGAGTTCTTTGCGGCACAGATGGGCGTACTTACCCTTCCAAGTGCCATCTTCTTAAAGCACAGTGTAATGGTGAACCAGTCACTGTAGCTCACAAAGGGCCCTGCAGTGGTAAGGCGTTCTTTTTGCATTTAGCGCTTTTATTTTGCCGAATTTCTTTATCTTTTTGTTCTGATTATCATATGTATTTTCCAATCTTCCAATGATAATTATTCCGTATTATTTGTTAATAGAATAGTGTATTGTAAACTAAATCATGTTTATGTTAGGTGAACATTACACATGAAATTTGCAAAGCATTTAAATGACATGATCGTAATTACTATTTTATTGATGTCAGGGGAACGTGAATTATGTATCATAACATTATAATCATCAATCTATACTGTATAATCATGAATCAATCGTTGTATTATTTCAATAGTAAGAGTTGTTAAATATTGGTTTGACTGTATCTTTGTTGGTATAAAACTCTAAGAACTAATATTTCGTATTAACGTCGAGTTTCGACTTCAGCTTTTTTAACCTCCATAGTTGAGACACTTTATTTGTAGACTGTATAGCCTCGTCTATGGTTTTTAGTATATATACTAATCTGAGAACTAAACATTGTGTATGAAGCATGGTTTCACACCTAATAGACATTTTTTCGTAGATGGCCAGTCGTCTTGCCTAGCAGTTTTGCGGTATGCATTGAACGCACAAAGCGGCAGGAGGGCGGCGTTCGTACCCAAGTGTAGAACAGACGGCACATATGCAGCGGTTCAGTGCGCAGCTGCTGGCGCTGCGGCAGGGTGCTGGTGTGTCACACCAGACGGCAAACCCCTACCAGATACAGCTGTTAGGAATGGAAAGCCTGATTGCACGAGACCTGGTCAGAAATGTCATTTTACTCACACACTAATGTACTAATGTAACTGAAAGTTATTCCTTACTTTCTGTTTGTAATAGATTTAATCTAAAAATTCTGGACGGATTTTCAAAAATTTTTCGCCATTACCAGCGAGCAACATGAGGGAAATATTTTTTTTCCCTTCGAGAGCTTCCCTCAGTTTGCTGAAATGCGACCGATGTCAGGACCTTAGCTAGAATTGAAGAGCTATTTTTGATTAATACGCAGAGAATTCTCTAAATCACAGAATGCGAATACGACTTAAAAGCTCTTTCTCTAAGCATATCGTGTTCGTAGTCACGAGAACTTTGTTACCTAAGTTTTGTTTCGGCACCAATCAGTACTTAACACTCCCACATAAATAATTCATTTAATATATCCGGTATAATCCAACGCTAAAAACATATTCTTGATTTTTTATAATTATTTGAAGTAAGTTTAAATAATAATCAAGTTCTTAGAATACTCGAAACTATAGATCCCTTAATATATGAATCAGGAACTATTTTTAATTCATATGAAAATCTTGTGTGCAACGAGCTACAAAAAACATAAACTCCCATTTCAACACATCTGTTTTCCTTAACGTCAGTCTGTAAATAATGGTTCATAGCTATTCGTAACACTTCGATCTTGTTTACACTTTACTAAGCTGAAAGATCACAATATTAAATCAGACGAATTAACAATTATCTAATCTAACATCGGTGTAACTATGCCGTCTGCCTTTTTAAAATATAGGGTGTTAATTCCATATAGCGACTCCAAAGGGAGAGTTTTCTCACGTTATATAGAGTGGTTGTTATATAATAACTATGATAAATAAATAAATCCGAAATAAACATTGTATGGACAAATTTTAACGGATGAATCCCGATAAACCAATGGTCTGACAGATCGAATAGACGATTACCCAATATAAGAAAGACATATTTCGGCGTTTAATTATTTATTATAGGAAAGGTAAGCTGACCTGTGTCTGTGTCCACCACCATGTGCGTGTTGACGAATAACACAGGACGTCGTTTGATTTATTCTAAGACACGCCAGTTTCCTCCCAATATTCTCTGCGACCTTAAAAAGCAACCTCAAAGTCGGGGTTAAGAATTGCACGTTCCATTCTCATTCAGCATTCATACACTGCTGGCAACTTAACTCTTCACAAATATTATACATTAGTAAAAAACGTTAAACACTTTGAACAACACATTTTTTGTATTTATAATATTATATCTAGACAATAAATTATAATACATAAATTCTTAACCACATCGGATAGCTCGGATCACGTTTCTATCGAATCGCACCTTGCGTGATGCGCGCACAAATAGAAAAAGAAGCTTCCAAATTGTTCCTATTGTATTGCCATTATAGCTGGATGTTCCTAAATATACATGCTTATAGTTAATCGCTGTGTCCATCATCGTAAAAATATTAATTGATATATCATTGAAAAAGTGCAGTGACCATTTCTGCTAAGACATGTGGTCTTTGTCAATAGACTGAGTCGGACTCAGTTGACACCACTTACCTACTCATTTATGCACTTTTGGTTTTCTTTGTTTTTTTCATTAAAATGTTTATTGTTTTTTCTTATATTTTGTATGTGTGTGTTGATAAATGGTTTTCATTTAGGGAGATTTAATCGTATTCTGTTATTGATTGTTTTAAAGACGGATACAATTTTAAGATAATCTTAGTAAAATGATAAAACTGTCATCTGTCACAGGGTTAGGTTAAAACTGTTTAATCTTTTACTGAATTTCATCCGCTTAAATAAACTAAATTCAATTCATAAATATTAAAATGAATTTTTACATCGTTAGAGGAGTTTTAAATATCAATTAATTCATTACAGATTAATTAATAAATTAAGCAATAATATCATTGTTAATAGTAACAGCTATAACTTTCAATTTGAATCAACGGTCTTTGAGTTTACGGTGCGCGTATAAAATTTTAACCATGAGTTATATTATGTATTTAAAAGGGGTCAGGGCTCTGAAACCGGAAGATGTCAATCCCAACTTATTTACTAGACAGTAGACAGGTACCTATTATTGAATTAGACGATTGATATGGCGCTGATGTGAAAACTACAGACTATTTCCACATACCACATTTCGGGGACAAGTAGTCGTGTATCCGCGTGAAAAACCAAGCAAATAGTGAATAAAACTATTACTACTTAATAAAACGAAAAAAAGATCTATAGATACAACATGCCGCTAGCGGCGCGTATTAAAGGTCCTTTGAAATTGGAACGATATCATCAGAGCGCCAAAGGACCGCCTTTAATCAAAATTCTTCGATAGAATTAAGTGCAAAATAAAGTCGCCGCAGGTTTAAATTGAGTCACGCCATTTTTTACCTGACCTCTTTTCGCAACAAAAATACCTGTCATTAAAATATAAGCTGATAAAATAATATTAGTATCCCTTAACAGTTCTTCTACTTTATTGACTCACCGATTTAATTTCCTTAATAAGGCTTAAGGAAATTAAATCGGTGGTACATGTTCAACAAGGTATATGTTCTAGTTATACTAAATAAATGTATGGATGATGCCGATTAGAATCAGTTATCAGAGTCCGGGCGTTGTCCTGCGGAGGACGTCTCATTGTCAATATATATAGCTATAATTAGAATGAAAAGGTTAAAGTTGTATTCGATTTTTCTATATGAAAGAAAACCTTAAACACACTTAAACTTTGTGCATTTTTTCAATGAACACATTTTCGCGTCTGTTCTATTAATCATTTAACAATCAATGATTGGAATGGACTCAAAAAATTTAATCCGATAAATCGTAACCGTTTCGGCTCACAATATATACATGTGACTTATTTAGAAATAATTAAAAATTCAATACAAATTAGGTATTTAAATGATTGCTTTTGGCAGTACCTAAGTCCGTCGTTCGTGACCTAGGTAGGGTATTGCTCTTTGAGAATGCTTTGATAATGCTCAGGAACTAGTCTTATGTCTGGCAAATACGTGTTTTATTAAGGAGATTATTCCATTAGTCTTGATAGTAAAATTATGCTTTCGACTTGTGTTTAAGTTTTTTATATGTAAAATGAGTTTCACTTTGCAATTTAAACTATTGATTTATTTAGTTGAGCGTCGTGTCGTGTGTTTTAATGAAATTAGTAGACACAATTAGCGGGGCAACTCTTTTTTCAAGCTTTTCGCAGTCGTCCGCGTGGATTTCGTGTAGTATATGTGACCTCTTTTAAATATATTTCTCTGAAGAGTACCATGAACAAATCCTTAGGATGTTTATTGGTGAGAACCTTACATAAATAACCCCCTATAACGTTGTTTCGTATAACGTGACTTCCTGTACCCATATAACGCGGTATTTCCTCCATATAACTGAGAGATTTCTCAAGTTTTATTTCTGTAAGAATGGCGGAGAGTTTAGAGTAACTGGCAGTAAATGTAAAATTAGAAGCATTCTTTTTTAACATTACCGTAAATTGTGTTAAGTACCTATATTAATAAATGTTCATTTGATTTGTAGTGTGAAATTTATAATGATTTGTCAAGTCCATAATTAGTTTTGTGCACCTTCGCACCAGTTCGAATTGTTTTGTTGTAAATTTAAACTAAATAACTTTTTAAATTCGTGTTCCTAGTTTTGTTTTTTTTTGTTCCTAGTGTACTGTTATCGCGTTTATACAGATGCAATTTAAATTTTGTAATATTTCAGGATTTATAAGTTATTAATACGTTCGTTATAGCCACTAACAAGACAAGTTAAAAGGTTAAGTCAATTTAATAATAAAGACGAAAGTTTATATAAATCCACAGAACTAATTCTTTTCGATATCATGGTTTATATTAACGATTGCATTTCCTTTGTTGTATTTTTAACTTGTTATTTCAAAACCTCAAACACCACAAATTCATTGAAGAACTTTGTAATTATTTTCCTTGACGTACAAAGCAAATTTTGCACACACTTTTCCTGTAGATAGGTATGACAGTTGAGGGCCATCAACTTTTCTCTAAATGGCTTAGAAGTAACTACACCAAAGTGTTATGATAATTTACTTAATATTCTTGTCACAAATGATCGCATCCGTAATAAATGATGAAGTCAGAGAATGTGAAGTAGTTAGTAAGTGAATGCAGTGAAATGTTCACGGAGCATGGGTGTATCTGGAGTCTATGCTCATCGCAGAAATTCGGGCTACCGATTCATATTGTATGCCTGAAAATACCTAAATACGCCAATGTAGGAGGTATAGGAATTCCAGATGGTATTACTAATTTATATTAAACTCAATAAATCGTGGTCATTGATAAAAATACAATTAAGGTGATACAAAACTGACCCATTAAAAAAAGTATGTTAATTCGGGTTAAAAAACACCAAAGTGATATTAGATATAGATAGTATTGTATATAAAATAAACAAATGTGATTAGGAAGATTGTTATAAACGGGGCAGTTTTGTGCGCCATGACGCCAGTGTTTAGAAAATTTCACCAGTTTGAGTTATGTATTTCTTGTTATCAGATAATATTTGTCGTCACTTACAAAAGTCCTATTTAGCGCTGAGTCTTGTCCTAGTCCTTCTCTACAGTTTATGTTTTACTCGGACATAAATTCTTAAATAGCCAAGAGCTTCCTTAATTTTATAGGTAGTATAAAGTTTAATGTTCTGTACTCCACAGGTTAATACATTTTTTAAAGTAATCCGAAGGGTACTCTATACTTAAGTATAATGTTACTTGTTACACATATTAACGAAAATTACTATTACAATATCTTTTGATTTTTTTCATTCAAAAGTCCGCACTAAAATTTCTATCTCCATTCACAGTTCAAAAACGGATGTTTTGGTTCACCCTAAATGACCTAACGGGTTATGACGACACACAGTTTATCTTGTGTGGAATAGAATAAATTTATTCGCTGAACGGCCTGAATCTTAGGTATGTCTAGACGAATTTGCTATTTGTTTAGTCTACATATTTTTATTTATATCTGTTAAAATCATCCCACAGAAAAGTGAGGCGCTACAATCATTTTAAGTCTGGGCCTCAGATTTATGTATGTATCTGTTTCATGATCATATGTCAATCTAATAGGCAAGTAGATGAAGAGCAGCCGTCGACTTTTTTGGGTCTAAGACAAGCCGGTTTCCTCACGACGTTTTCCTTTACCGTTCGAGCGAATGTTAAATGCGCACATGGAATGAAACTACATTGGTGCACAGCCGGGGATCGAACCCACGACCTCAGGGATGAAAGTCGCACGCTGAAGCTACTAGGCCAACACTGCTCAAATATATTAATACTTTATTATAGCTTCGCAATGAGTTGGACTTTAAAATGTAAGTCACCTGCTTGCTTCACAACCAGTTGAAAACAATAAACTATACGAACCGCGAGAATTACTATTCTCAGTGATAGAGAATTGTAACCTTTATTAAATGGATTATTAAATTTAGTGGATTATATAAAATAGATATGTCATGATGCGATTTTGCGGATCCATAAGGACCCGACATTACCACTGAATACCGTTCCATTTGTAACTAACACATTGTTTACATTAGAAGTCTGGCAACTGTTATAGTACAGACGATGCATTATATATGTTAATGTAAATTTGTATGTTCATCGTTTTATAGTGGCAGCCGCGAATTGGCTTTAAAACTTTATTGCATATTAGCGTCTATTTGAGAAAGAGCTTTAACGTTCATAGTGTTTTACCGTTATACCAAACCGCTGTACGTTCTATGTAGTAGTAATTATAGAATCGCAAGCTTTATATATTCGTTAACTTTTCAAATATGTATTGAAAATTAAATTACACTGAGTCGACACTATCATTTCTATGTAGGTTTAAATTTTGTATTCCAGTTCGTATGTACTTATTTTTTTAAGTGATAGCTATATATAGGTGGCTGTTTTATAATAAGCAAATTCCCAACATAATTTCTTTATCAAAATGAACGAATATAATTGATGAATCAGATTCCTTGCTGGCGCCATTTAAATGGTTACCTTCGATCTGTAATTATCCGTATAATTACGCTCGTCACAAAGATTTCATAGCTTTGCGGAATGTATATATAAATTTCTGATGATATACGAAGTCATAAATGAATAAAATATATAGGTATTTGAACAAAAAAGCTAAAATTATTTATAAATATAAAATTAAGGAAGTATTCTGAATATATACATTATACAATAACAATTTATATATATAAATAATTATTGTATTAATATCTTTAAAAAAATAACTTATTATTAAAAGTACAACAACAACAAAATAATAACAATAAGAAATAATAAAATAATAAATATAAACCGGCTTGAATACGTTCAGGCTAGGTATTAATTTGCATACAGTTACTCTACCAATAAACGCCGCATAAAACAGTATTTTATTCCAATTATTTTAAAGGGTTCAAACAAAATAACCTCGGAACCTGAAGTTGAATATCTACTTCTTAATATTATTATGTTAGAGAATGTGGCTAAGAAGGTGAATAGCTTAATTGAGAGGTCCACGATTATCGTTAGAAATCTTATTGAATTTTTTGTTAATTTAGAGGTGCTTCACTGGTTACGCATTTTTCATCGATAAGGTTATTATATCTTGTGAATTATCCAAGATATATATTGAGCATTCGATAAACGAGCTAGTTCTGGATATCCGTTGTCGCTCCCCTCACACTTTGAAGTTGATTTTCCTTCAGTTTTTATAGTTATTTTTATTGTATCTTTGCATCAGTCTGCCGTTGTGCGTTGGCAAGCTTTTATAAATTATTAATTCTGTTTATATTCTCTTTAGTAGAACATAGTGCAAATTATTTATTGTATTTCTCGTAGCGTGTTTTTATTTATAGTAGATCTGGAAATAATATTTGTTTTTTTATTCTAGTTCTAGGAAGACGAGTACGTGTACTATAAACAGTGTACTAAAGCAATTTCCAAGTAATCTCAGTCCGCAACACATGGCTCTTATTAAATCCCTCATTCCAGGTTTTTATAAAGGCAATATGAATAATATCTCGAATTACAAAACGCCGGAGCTCATTCTTAAAATATCCCGCACTCAGTCATTCCGTCTAACAATCTTTTACATAATTGCAAGAATACCACAGTTGGTGACTTCACTTATTACTTTTAGGCACAGCTGATTACTACTACTTAACTTTAAAAGTATCAATGAAAAAGCAGAAATGTGTTTGCGCTATGCAAATCTTTTGGAAATATCTTATAAAAATCGTATGCTCCAAACAGCACTTTGAAGGTTGTCCAGACTGCAAATTTTTCAAGAAACATCCGAATGTTATGTATAATGAAAAATAATAAGTATATTCCAGAACATGACATATAATGCTATAATTCACTTATAAATCTAGATAGTTGGAGTCCAGCTAAACATTAGTGTCTAAAAATTACAATAATTTAGCCGGCATTACTATAAATGTAGTAGCCTATTTCACTGCTAATAGCGTAGTCCTTACAGTTGAAGTGTGGCGCCTTTTTGCAAGGCAATTAAATATTTATTACCACTTATAAACTGACCCGGTTACTGGTAATCATGTTTCTCCGATATTACTTACGTCCATTAAAATAAGCTATGACTATTCATAAAATTTGATACTAAAATTTTTAATTTAAAACTCTCACTTACTACTTCAATTTTAAATCAAACTAAATTTTATATGTTGCTTTAAAAAAACCCGCATTTAATATGATAATGATATGATTTGAATGATATATATTGATTAAAATGTATATCTAAACATATATGTGTATGGTCTATCCCAAATGCTAATAAAATTTTAAACCAAACTATGTATTAGTATTGATTTGAAATAGGCCTATTAACCGAAACCTTTTTCGATTTAAAACACTATCTTGACCCTATGGTAGCCCACATTAACAAGTGTGGAGTTCTTAGAAATCGCGTTTCGAGTCAGACTGCGCGACGCCGTAGCACAATGGACTGGAGTTTTTTGTCGAAGGTAACGAAGGCATGCCTCAACCATGAGACGATAGAAAAAACACCCCAGACATCATTCAATAGCTTTGTCGAAGCGGTTCGCCGCGCCTTTGATGTGTTATATTTAGGTACCTGCTTCTGGCCATATAACGGAACGAAGAAAGAGTTAGAACGCCAAATGAAAACAATATTTCAGCTAAAGCATCAAACGTAACTAAAAATAATAATTCGAACTGAGGTTAGAAGTGTTAACATTTCTACGTAAAATATTAAAGGATGCGAGTTAAATTCATACAGATTGTACGATTGCCGCAAATAAAGCAATTTAAACTTTCAATTAAACAATTTATGGAGATGTAATAAGTATGGGGAGCTCGTCCGTTACCGGTTTTAGTATCGACTAATGCTGTACATCATTGTCGTTAAGACCGGTTGAGTAGACAGCATCGCACTTTCAACTTACACTGTAGGCATGTCGGCTCCAGCGCGTTCCCTTTCAAATACAAAATAATACCTATAATCGTTAATAGGCAATTAGACAAGGTGTCTATGACCTCAGGCAAATATTTAGTCATCGTTTGTGCGGCATGTGCTTGTTTAATTGCTTTTTAATTGCTGGCCACTTTAAATACTTAAATAGCGACAGCTTGTAATGAGATGTATTAAAGTGATTTTATTTCATGTATGTAGTATTTTGTGTCAATACTATGTATAATATTTCCTGTCAAAGCGCGTGTCCTTTTAGCCTCACTATGCATTTTCTCATAACGATATTTTTTTGTTCTCAGGTAAATCTCAAACGCGACGGCGTTCGTCGGTTCGAGGTCAACGTAATAAAAGAAGTAAGTCTTACTGCTTACATCGCACATGAAAATTACTTGCATACTAGAATTTAATGAAAAGGCATAAATTAATTATTGATTTTATGCGCATGCAACAATACGATCACGAAACCAATTACCACGATTAATGCCATTGACATTAACAGACCTTTCTCCTGTCGCATTTAAATGCTTTACTTTAAAACTAGTGATTTGGTAATTAACAGTGGGAACCATTAGTGTAACATAATTTACGTAACCCGTGTTCTCAATACAGCTGGTTCCGAACAAAATGGATCTATTTTTGTACAATACCATAGATGAATTTCTATTTCCACGGAGAAAGGCGAAAGCTGCACATTAAACGTGGTCATAAATATAAAATTTTTGTCATATCATACGGCTCTTTGTTGAGACTGAATAGAGGTGCATCCCATCGAGATAAATAAATCGCTTTATTTAGTGCCGCGCACATCTCAGCATGCGATTCGAATGCCACAATAGTAATCTCGCGTGAGAATAACAATATATTCACGGATATTTCCATGAGAAGTTAAAAAGAAACTTGGTACTAGCTATATAATCTCTTAGAGCTAGAAGGAAAAATGTGTTTATGCTAACACATCTTGTAATTTTTCCTTATGCAACGAATTCAACTTAGCAATTATATATTAATATAAAATTCCAGGTTGCACTCGGGCTGATCGAGCTCAATTTAATGGGAATCTCATAAAGATATTTAGTGGGGAGTTCGGTCGCTCAGAGAGGGGTGGGGAGGGATCGGACCCCCGTGATGTTGCCGATTGGAAATTCAGGGAACTTGATCGAGACAGAAGCGGCACTTTGCAGAAATCAGAATATCGAGGCTTGAGGAGACTTATCAAAAAGGTTTGGAATACATCAATGGTTAAATTGCTTTCGCTAGGTTTGCCTTAGTAACATAAGGAAGGAATATATTGGGTAGGAATTTTAATGATAACAGCGAACGTGATGCGATGGAAATCATTGTAAAACGAGATAAAATAATTAATACTTTTAATATATTTAATGAATGAAAGAACAGCGTCTGCGTTTATGAATAAGTTCTGTTTTCTACGGAAAATTTGTGCAAAACAACACTACGCAATAACGGAAAATTTCCAATTCTGATGGACCAGGTGCAGTAGGTACATTAGTTTCGAATGGTATTGGGTTTGATATCTGACTAAATGAAATGCAAATTTTCCTAAAAGCTGATCATCAAACCATTTATAAGCAATGGTGCGTTAGAATCTATGATTATTGTATACAGTAGGAAAAATGTTGATTAGGTGGTGAAACCAAAGAGATGTGCCCGTGCGTGGGCTCGTGGCTGTGACGGAGATGGTGATGGTGAGATCGCGCGCGCGGAGTGGTCAGATTGTCTTCTGGCCATACCAGAACCACCCGCTCCGGACTGTGAGTACCTTGATACTACAAAAAATATTAGTTTTTATGTTCTAAGCATTCTAAAGCTGTAGAATACATTTTTCTTAAGTCTTTAAAAATGTTTACACGATAATGAAAGACATTTAAAATATTTTAAAGTATGTAAAGTGCCATTCTTCGCTTGCGTAGTCAATATCATATTTATTGGAGAAAATTTATTATATCAACGTGTGCGCAAACATAATAATAATATATAGTCTCTCTCCGTTTCTTCATGTCGTTGAATGCAGACGATGACAGCGGGCCTGAAAATGAGCCGGATTATGAGGAGGAACCACCACCCGATACAAGTGCAGGTATATCTATAGTAACAGGAAATAACTAAATTGCATGTAAATGTCACCGTAAACTTCGTTCCTCCTTAATGTGATTTTACTTGGCCTAGCTTTTTAGTACATACCAACATGGAACATTTTGCTATGCTATCCCAGAGCCTGTTGTGTAAAAAAACATGGCGATTAAAAAAGAGTGGCGGAGAGTTTATTGCCAGTTCTTCTCTTCCGTTCTACGCCCTTGATTTGAGAACTGGCACTAAATGTAAAGTTAGAAGCATTTCATATGCATTTCTTTTTTTTGACGTTCATAAGTGTACATTGTGTTACCTATATGATTAAATGATTTTGACTTTTGACTTGACTATAATATGTACTGTATATAATGAATCTAAAGAGACCGCGAATTTTCTTACCACGACTTTATGTATATATACATATAAAGTCGTGGTCATATATATCTATATATATAGAGCGTAGTCACAATATGACACGGTAACATTACCAACTAGATAAACCAATATGTTTTTTTCAGTGCTGCCAGGAATAATGCGAAATTCATTCGCACCAGAAGGTTCCGTGGCGAGGGAAGATGAGGCGAACGACTGCTTAACTGACAGACAAGCTGTGCTAGACGAGCAGGTATTATTTTTAATTTCGACTTTTATTTTGTTTTCTAGTCTTTGAACTACGATGATGGAGCGTCAAATGTTGTGCAAATTTAAAAAAAAAGTCAAATAGCTATGGAATTAAGCGATACCAAGCAGCAGATTATATATTTTACTGGTATAAAGTAAATTGTGGGTATACGTATGTATGTGTCGATGGATATGTAATAATATTTCATGGATTATTTATTGAAGTTTACCACATCATACGTAATTATATATCTACAGTATATGTTACAAGCTATATTTTCTAAAATATATCACAATTTTGGAACACATATATGTTACAAGAAATTTAAAAAAAAATTTTATTCATATTTTTAATTGAAAAATGTTACTTATGTTTAATTTTATGCTTGTGCGAATTACAATTGCCGATTGTTTTAAGTGTAGCGAAAGTGCGACTGCAAACGATAACCTCTATATTTCCAGTATTTTTATTTGTATTGTGTAGAGTCTGGCTAATGAAAGTTGATACTGAAAAAGCGCGGCAAATTTAAAAAATATCAGCATGGCAGCCCTAACGCCTTTAGTACACCTACGCGTTCGTATGCGGCTGCGAGTCTTTGCGAAATAATTGCGGTAGCGAAATATCTGCGGAACGTTAGTACACTGCAGTTTTTTCGCAAGGAAATGTCATTGTAGCTTTATTTCTTACCATCTATCCCCGTCTTTTCTTGAATTTTCCTCCATGCCACCTCTTTTTGTATGCATTTTTGTAATTAACATGCCCAACTAAATATAATTCGTGATAATTTCGAATCAAATTTAATAATAATTCAATATTTTCGGCTTCCATTGTGCGAAATTCTGTCCTCACTGACAGAACGCGTGGTGACGCATTGCGATGCGAAACTCCGCTAGCGAAACGGCTGCGTCTGTGTAACAGCCATTTCGCAGTTACTTGCGAAACAATACCGACAAGGACGCAACTATTTCATCTAGCTATATAATAGAGCGAGACAAAACACATGCGAAACATTGCCATACAACTTACAGTTTTTTCGTTGTTTCGCTGCCGCATGCGATTGCGTAGGTGTACTAAAGGCGTAAAATGGCGTCACCAAGGATGACGTAATATCGCCAGAATGTGCGATGCGAAGCAGATCGGAAATTCTTGCGGTGCGTTCGTGCGAATTCGCAGATATTTGCGATGCGATGCTAATTCGCGGTTTTGTGTGGGAGCGCTAAATCGCATCGCATCGCAGTTTTGTGTGGGAGTCCTAAAGTAAAAAGGAAAGTTGGAACAACTCACTTTAATACTTTGACATTCATATAGTGGATGCTTGCAATTTTGTCCGCGTTATGAGGAGATTAAGGGCTCCCACACAAAACTGCGAATTCGCATCGCATCGCAAATATCTGCGAATTCGCACGAACGCAACGCAAGAATTTCCGATCTGCTTCGCATCGCACATTCCTGCGATTTTACGTCATCCTTGGTGACACCATTTTAGTCCGCTCTGAGACAAACAATTAAAATGTCAATAAATACATTTTGTTTTACTTTACCTGATAGTCAGTCCCAACATTTCCAAAGGCATAACAGGAATTCTTCCCTTGTACGATCGTTATTGAAGGCATGGTGATAATATACTCAAAAGCTCTTCAAATGAAGATATGCTCATTCTAAAATAATCAAAAAATTTATCTTCAGTTCTCAACGCATAGTACTTTTGAATAAAATAGTTCCCACCAGAGTTCATAATCGTAATGAATGGATGAACCCAGAATCTTCTTTTTCTTTTATATCTATTTAACAATAACAGCAGTGCAATAATCTTTTTGCGATCCATCTTACGCTTCTTAAAAACACGTTCAGTACGGCTGGCTTCGAAGGAATGGTCGCCCTACCAAACGGTTTGACGCACTAAATCGTATCGCGATGCGATGCGAATTCGCATCGCATCGCAGTTTTGTGTGGGATCCCTTAAAGTAGCTTATATCACTTGTTAACTCTTTATTAACTAAATACCAAACATCACACGGATACGTCACTTCATTGGCGTATTAAAGGAACAAACAGGCTATCAAACCCTATCATGAGTATCAATATTATCATGAGTTTAAATATTTTTAAATCTATGTGAGTATGTATCAAAGAAAACAACACCATATATTTTTATACTCTTTTTTAATCACTATAATCAAAATCTGAATCTAAAAATTCAACATGGAAATCGTCAGTGAATCGTCAGAATCACTGGAGTCGCTGCTGTCTCTTAAATTGATCATATTTATTATTATATATATATTAACTAAAACTAATATGTACTTATTTAAAATAAAAAATATCAAGACATTTTTACCGTACTAACTTTAGTGTTGTCATATAAAAAGTTTGCAAAAAAATCCAGTATCTAATTTCGTTACCCAGACTCTACCAATATTGAAAAAAATATATATTTACTAGTAGATTTACGCTAATATTTTTTTAATTACGCTAATAATTGTAAAGAATTTAGTTTTTAGTTCTGCTTTACTGAAGTCAGCTTGAGTAGGTTATTGTCTAGTTCTTTTTTGGAAATGTTATTTTTTTCAAAAAAGTTGCTTGTCGTACCGAGTTAGCAAGTGCCCAATATTTGAATTAAATATTATATTTCTGTATAATCAATTTACGAAAATATTAAGTGAATGCGAATTATACTCAAGCGAATGAATTTATAAAAGGTTAATTTTAGAAACGAGTGGATCCCGTATATTAAAAAAAACGAGGATTTTGACATTCGGAAGTCATAGATGGTGCTAAGTTGCGTCTCACTCGCGAATCTTTGGATCAGATTTATAATTTTCACTAAGTATGAATCCCGACTCCATTTTCTCCTACCGAACTGATAGTCTCTTTTGTAGCGCTTACTGCATAATTCTTAAAACAGCACGTAAACGCGTCTATCTTGATTGGTCATTACATAGAATCGCCCTATATGATAACATTTGTTGGTAGAAAGCGGGTAGTGCTGTACTGTACGTGCCCGAATGCATGGGCGACGGCAGATACGCGAGGGCGCAGTGCTACCGTTCAACTGGCTACTGCTGGTGCGTGCATCAAGACACAGGAAAGCCAATACCAGGATCATCGGTCAAAGACAGTAAGCCCGATTGCGATTCTGCACCCCAACACGCCAGCCCAATGAGAGGTGAATAACTTTTTTATTTAATTAATTTGGCCGAATTTCTTAGTTTAGGACACCAAGGTGTTTATAACAAAATTCCTTTACATAAATAATAAAAAGGTTTTTTAATAATTAAATTAACGCTAATAACCATATATTTAAATTAAATTAAGAACTGAAATAACTTACAGTATACGACCTGTATGTGATATTAAATTTTGTGTATGTTTGTACCGTGTAAAGTAAAATTGCAATGTAAGCTTTAAGAGCAGTCCAAACTCAAACAAATCGACACAATAATATTGTTATTTCTTTTATCTTTTTCAGCGCACAGGTATTTTGAAGTCTGTTTAATTTTTTAACATTACTTTTATTTTATACATTATACAAAACCATGAGCAGCGTTTAAAAAATTTCATCAACATAAAACTTAGAAGAATAATATTTATTGTAATTTAAAGCTTAATAATGAGTGTACATTTAGACAGGGTAAAACCCATAATTTTCTCAAAATATACTTTATTATGTACTTTGTAAATTTCAGGTTGTCCCGAACCAATGAAGAGTAATTTTTTGCGAGACCTAATGAACTTTTTCATTTCGAAAATGACTACATCTATTAACGGAACTGGGCCCGGGTAAGGCTTCTCTAATTAAACCAATGCTAATGTGTTTGTCTGTTCTTCAGAGGTGAAAACTGCACAACGGTTGTAAAAACATTATACGAGACGGCCCAGGCCCCAAGGCACTTATATATAGAGAACTCTAGTGGTATGCGATTTCCAACACGCAGGTCGTGTGTTGGAATCCTGTCTATGAACCAATATACCTGCACAATTAACTTAATTATACGGTAACGGAAAAAGTCTTTAAAAAACTAAAATCATTTCATTTTATCCGCCATACAACATATCCTTTCTCTAGAAAGTATACCAAAATCCCTTCCCACTTTGTACACTTTTATATTGATAATCTACATAAAATCTGTATTTAAGTTGCCTCAGTAAATTTTCTTAGGTATTTCAAAGCGACACCAATACGCCCATGTTTCCCGAACTTATTCTTTATTGGCTTAGGAACAGTTACCTCTTAATTAACATAGTACCGCTATATCGCTCAAACAATAACCGATCTTTAGAAAAGGCTTTATCAATAGAAATTCATAAGCCACCCTTTTGTTCACTATAAGCCGAAATTGCTAATAAATTATCACTATTGTTTTGCAAATAAATAACACGCTGAACTAATAATTTTACTTATTTATTCACTAATTTATGTTGTCTTGGTATTTAGAAATATGTTACGAAATTAAATGTATTTTTAAAGGTTTTATGGCACTCTTTGGATCAGACTATAATTCTATGAAACTATGTATTTATTGTGTAGAATTGGAGTTGTTTATATGGTGCTAGGAAATTTTCCCCATTGAAATTAATTGAAATGCCATTAATCCATTCCAGCACCCAAAACACCACCTCAGTTGTTTTTGTTAGGTGTTTTTGAATAAGAAAATCATTTCACGCTTTAATTCAATAGACATTATCTTCTTCGGACCCATGGTTATAAAGATAAATGTGATAATGTTTTGTTAATATACAATAAGCAAAAAACGCAAACTTATCAAAAGACAAGCAAAAAGACAGTATAGACGGAGGTGGGCGAAACTGATAGTACACTATGTATGTGATTCCTCGTATCTCAAATCTTGCTCTCATCTCAAAGCAAAATATCGCTCGCCCTCGGCTGCACACATCTCAAAACACTCTTACATCGAGTTAACACTTACCACTGTATGTCAACAAATAGATTTACATTAAAGCGTCCCTTATAACGGATAATCAACATTCTTTAATTGTTAAACTAGCCTAAATCGGTATTAAAATAAAATTGCAACGATAAATATAAGTGTAGTAACCCTGCGAATTAAACAAAACTAAAATGGACAATAACTAGAAATGGTTCCAAGTACAGCATCGGAAACAGGACATTGGGTCGTAGACTATCGAGCCTTTCGATCCTGAACGACAAGTGCTTGCCTTTGTAGGGAATAAATGATCCCTAGCCTCGTGCGAGTGTGGGGCGCTTTTAAGAGAGTGCACGTTTTCGTGGAAGGTACACATAAATTGAATAGACTTAAATCAATTTGTCCTTTTATTATTTTCTATGGAAAAATTATATCTAAGTACTGACGACGCGATCTTAATCACTATATAAAGCGAATTCGGCACGTTTGAACGATGGGAAATCAATAAAAAAACGCTTAAAAACAAGGATACACTATCTACCACTTTCTATAATTAATGCCAATCCTGATTTTTTTTACTAAATTCATTTATCATAAATTACATTTCAAAAGTTTCTCAAATATCTGGGCTGGCAAGAATACGATATTAATAATGAAAGAACTAAATATAAATAGAAATAAAATTACGCATGAGTAAAATACTGGATAGATGTTTAATATTTAATTGCCGCGACAATTATTTTCAGAGAAATGGTGAAATGGGGTGCATCAAAAGAGGAGCAAGCAGCTACTTGGACATATGTTATGTTAGATAAGGACAAGAACAAAGCTCTCGAGAGAAGGGAATGGAAGTCTTTCCATCAGCTCATTTCCTCAGTGGACCAGCTCAGAAGGTGCGGCCGAAAGCTGCCAAGATATTGTGATGTGAACCACGATGCCAAAATCAGTATTACAGAATGGATGGCCTGTTTAGAAGTCATGCAGGCTTCGCAGGTGTCAACAAGTAAGTTTGTAAATCGTTTTAGTTCGGAAAATTATTTTCCTTGCTCTTTTTGAAATTTCGTTATTAGTTCCGGGAACTATATTTTCAAAATTTCACTGAGTATGACCTTCGAATGAGAAAATTTAATACGTTTTTGACAGACGGGAGTCAAACTTAGCTCAAAATCTCGACTCTGATTCTTACCCTACAATAAAAATGCATGCTTTTACATACACATTACACATGTTATATATAAACAAAGTTTTCATACTAAACTAATATTTAACAGTTAAAACTAAAAAATCATGTTTATTTTCAGCTGAAGTTCCAAAAGTACCATCTAATCCTCGAAGAAAAGGTCCAAACCCCTTGGAGTCAATTTTAAAAGCAGACGACTGATTTATTAACTCACATAAATTTATTTATTATATAAAAACCTTTATCTATCAATAATCAATATAAGTTTTGAAAAAATATCACAACACCTATTAAATTAATTGTTTAAACTTAGAAAATTGTAAAGGGAAAAATTTCTACTGATTACAACATCCCAGAACAATTATTGTTAATAAATAAATATAACAGTGTATAAATTAAATGCTTTTATTTCCATAACACTAATATTTATACTAGTTTTATTATATAGAACTCGACTACTGCATAATAAGACAATTTAGAAGCGCCTATATAAATCATATTACTTAGTAAAATTTGCAATATTAGAAAAAAACATTAGGAATTTTAAATTTTCTTAAATATTGTTTCTTCCCAGTGGAGGTCTTGTACCGACAAACGACCTCTAAGGGTTAAAATAAAGTGCATACTCCTAGAAGGGCTAGCAACACACCATACCTACCCACTAACATGGGTGTCAATGGCCAGCCTTTTATGACCGTCCCGTAGGCTCTCCTATCACTAAAAAAAGAGACAAGTCAAGACATGTTAATTCTAGTTTTCAAATACGATTAAAATTTATTTTATTTTTTCATATTATTACGATCATATGTAGTTACATAAAATTAACGGTATAGCCTTTTGGACAGTATACGTATATTTATATATAACGTAACGTAACTTTCAATTTTAATAAACGGCAAGAACGCCTTGTAAAAAATAGCTTTTTGCTTCATTCTGTAGAGAAGAGAATATAAATAAAAAGTCTTTGAATATACTTGTTTATTCGTAAAAACTATAATTAAATTTTGTTCTACAAAACATGACTGATTCAATATTGAAACAACTATACACAACGGTTTAACAAATTAGTAACGGTCTCAGATCTAAGTCAAGCCGTATGACGAAATCTATTTTAACATATGGGAGTTCGAGCTAAGTAGCGACACAATCTTAACCTAAGTTCATGATCCATTTAAAGTAATCGATTGCTAACACAACACGCTACTTTTCTATATGATTAATTTTCTTACAATAGAGGTTTTGATAATATTTAATTTTCTATAGTGTAAGTTCATAATGATTTCGCTATATTAATAATATAATAACATAGTTCAAAATCTGAACATTAAACTGGTTTAAACGAAACACCTATTATGACCACATCGAAAGCACATACAATTATAAAATTTAACAATTTGAAAGCGCTCGATTTGGCTATTGCTTAAAATTTATCAACGCGTTTAACAATTGTCGATTTTTTATACTCGTCCACTGTTTCTGTAAGAATCTTTTGAAAAATGCTCTCAAATATTTGATTTTTAACGATAACTTCGTCTGTGTGAAGGGAAGTCCACTCGGGTTCGCACCGGCGCCATTCAGCAAACAATATGTCGTCTATGTGATCCGATCTTCGCGCACCCACACCTTGAAAATGATTTATTACAGCTATATTAATACAATTTTTTTGTATGTGGTAAGAATAGGTTAGCAATAAGCGACCAAGATTATGATAAGTGAGAGTGTGAGAAAGCCGTCATTGTCTGACAAGACTGGATCGACAAGCACGGGAATGTTCAAACGACGCGAATTTTCAAACTAAGTGTACCCTTGTAATTTTCTTAAAAACATTCAAATGGCGTATTCTATATTTTCCTACCCAGGAATCAAATCTCATACTCAGTACACAAGCAAGTCTCAATAGAGACAAGCCGTGACCGCTTCGACCAAAATTATTATAAAATGATTTACCGGAAACAACTGTAGCTCTCACTCCAGTCAGAACTTCCGTAAGTTCTGCCGTCAAAATACTGGCAGATTTTTTAGCGTCCACACGTTTCTTCGGCAAATCATGGCATGTGTCCCAAAATTTGTCACCTTGTTCCTTCTTCTCATGTTCGAGATTCTCTTGGCAATAATCTTTGAGGAACGCATCGAATGGATCTACGTTATCGAAGGCGTCTTCTTTCTCTAAATATTTTTGGACTTTTTCTTTGCTTGCCTCATCTAATGTAAACTTTTTAGGCTTGGGAGCGCGTGTTGCTGCTGGCGGAGTATATGGTGGTGGCGGCTTGTCCGGTATTTCCCGTACGAGTAATCGACACTGTTGTTGTTCTAATGCCTTGATCTGAAATATAATAATGATAGAAAGAATATATAGATATATAGAGCAATCATTAAAGTTTTTTTAAACGTGGCAAACGCTCAACGTCAATGACACTATAAATACCAGGGGTCTCGCGAGTGCGTTGCCGGCCTTTTAATAATTGGTACGTTATTTGGTCGTACTTTAAACTACGATTGACATATATGGTACGCAGTAAATCGCCTCTGAGTTTACCCTTTGATACTCCAAAGTAGATTTTACAAGAATACAAGCTTCTGAGATTTCGCTTAGTAAAAATCTGTGGCATTACAACTTTTTTAGGTCTGGGCCTCAGATTTCTGTATCTAATTCATTCATTCAGGATTTTATGATCATTTGTTTATCTAATCGCCAAGTAGGTGATCAGCCTCCTGTGCCTGACACACGCTGTCGACTTTTTGGGTCTAAGGCAAGCCGGTTTCCTCACGATGTTTTCCTTCACCGTTCGAGCGAATGTTACATGCGCACATAGAAAGAAAGACCATAAAATATTTCATACACGAAGAATTTTTCATTGTTAATGTGGTGGTGTGGTTGAGAAAAAAAAACAATGAAAATAATGTAATTATTTGATTTAAACTGCTGAACAAATCGTTAATCGTATCGGTAAAAACCTGATTCCCGATAAAAGTTTATGTCAATAATACAATTTGGATTATGTTATTTTAATATGTAAATTGACATAATTTTTGCCTTAATACACGAAATCTATGGGGACGTACCTGCGAGGGGAAACTAGTAAATTTATATTATGTATTGTATATAGGAAATATATATAATACCTCTTTCTCTATTGCAAGCTGCTGTCTTCGCAATTCATCTGCCTCGTTCTGAGCAGGAGTGATGACGGCCGCTGGACAAGAGTAGACATCAGGAAAATCGACGCTGCTATTTTCGTCTAAAAAATATATAAAAAAATCGTGTAAAACCGTTTACTGTTAAATATGTACCACGGAAGAGTATCTAGTCACCCACAACACGGATCTCTAGGATCTGGACGGAAAGCAACTTGTATTTTAAAATAATAATATTATAATTATTCTAAAAAAATCGATTTTTGATATGCTTTTTAAATATATATTATTCACAAATTTAAGTCAATATATTATATAAATTCCGTTTCCACTTACAATAAATTTGTTTATTAAAGTAGTGAAAATTTTGAACAGATATATATTTTTTTAATATATATAAATGTATAAAAAACTTTTATACATTTATACATATATATTTACAGGACTTTTGCCAAACACTTTTAATGTGAATAAATATAATTGTGAGATTTGGTATACATACCCGGTGAAGTGGATGTAGATGAAGTTTTCTGTTCGGGCCATATAGTTAGATCTGGATCTTTTTCAGTGACTGCCGCTTCACCTGCAGGTACTGGTAAAGGGCCGGCCACTGATCTGCCACCAATTAAATCGTCCCTTCCTCTTATACACTGAGTTTCAACTGACACCATATGGGGCTCAACTGATTCATAAACGTGATTATCACTGATTTCACTGTTAACCTGTAGCGGTTCAATCCACTCTTCAACAATTTGGGTACCAACATCTTTGACTTCATGAATATCAACATTGCTTGATTCAACTATTTCTTCTAAATGAAGTCCTTTATAGTACTGGTCAAACTCTTCCACTAAACTTCGAGCTGTTGATGGACTAGAAGTATCGGATACATGACTTTTAACATGATCCATGAAATTCTTTATAGCGTCACCTTTATCATTTACTTTGTTATTCGTTGTTGTGACTATATTCTTCAGTGCTTCCTCATTTACTTCATATTGTTTTGAACTACTAAAAATTTCAGGTAAGGTCAAGTTATGAAACAAAATATTTAGATAGCCTCCATCAACAACAACAAAATTCTCTTCAGCAGTGCTAGTTTGTGTTGTTGCAGATAAAATACTGTCACCAGTTTGAATGCTTTTTTCTGCACTTTGTGGATTTATGACAGGCTTCAGAACGCATAGAGGAGTTACAGATTTTGGTCTTGACGTTGAACTCTCCTCACACCCACTACTTGATAGGTCAAAACATTTCAATGGCGCTGTATATCTCTCAGCCGATATACTTCTCTTTAATTTCCGCTTCTCCAATATTTGTTCCACATCCACTTGTTTTCTGAATTTTAATTCAATATTTCTTTTGGTTTTCATGAGCGCAATCTTCCGCTTTTCTGACAGTGTCAACAACGCCTTGCGCATACGTTGCATTTCACCACACTCGTGTTGAAGTTTGAGTAATGCACCTCTTTGTTTTTTCTTTAATGTAGATATGTCTGTATTATCTTGCTTTTTACGATTTTCTAACCACAATATCTGGGATTTGGTGAAATCTTTCAAAGCATCTTCGCGCATTTTCAGCACGAATAGGAAATTCTTTGCTCGTCGTTGCTCATCGCGTATGAGTAAATTGAGCTGAAATCAAGGTTAATGTAATTAATAAATTTAAATATAATTAAGTTTTGAATATATTTTTTTTTCAATTGGAGAAACAAGAATGATTTGATGCTAACGAACAACTTTGAAACAAATTAGCCTTGCAAGTAGATTGTTTGTGATTTCAAAGATAAACACTTACCAGACAAAGACTCTTCGAAGCTATTGTTTCACTATCATCGACATGTGAATGATCAAATTTAGAGAAAAATGAATCATATTCCCATTTCTTTAAATCGCCTGTGTTATTGACCATTTTTTCTACATTACATTGACTTAATCTTTTATCAGAGAAAGAGTAATTTTCTAAATATTGTAAAGACTCAAAAAATGAATCAATAAAATTTAATTCTCGCTGAAATTGTTCATTAATGTAGTCATTTTGGAGTAATTTAGTATTTATTGAGCTAATTATTTCTGAAGGTTTTATTATTCGTTTCAGTGGTCCTGTAGTGGCTTGTAAATTTTCAGCTTTTGCATTTTTATTATTCTTTTTATTTATATGTGTTTGTTGTTCTTTTAATTCCTTTTTATAAACAGACATTACATTCATAGGGTAGTTGTCTGTGTTTGGTGGGCTATTCATATCAATATTGTTTTCAACCATGTGAATATCAATTTTCTGTTCTGTTGTATATGTTAATGTTGCTCTACTGATAATATATGAACTTTTACCAATAGGCTGTTCATGTGCATTGTCTTTATCAATGGATGTCACACTAAATGATGGAACTATTAAATTAGGTAATGACTGACTACAAAAACTGACTAAGTTTTCTTTGGGTTTTTCATATTTATCTTTGATTAAAGTAACATTTGGTATTTGAAGATTATCAAATGTGTTATAATCCTTATTTTCTGTTGCTGTGCAAGTCGACTCATTGAAATTTGTTACAGTTGTTGTTATTTCATTAACTTTTTCTACAGATTCTGTCCCAACGTTTATATCACACAATACTTTTAAGTCTTCTACATCAGTACTGCTGTCAACCATTTTTGTATTTATTTCACTTTCAATTTTTGATATTTGACTTGTTAAATCATAATTTTCATAGTCTTTTTCTAAGGGGACATGAATGACATTCACTTGTTTTTTTCTATCACTTAATTCTCTTAACAAATTATTCTTCAGTCGTCCAAATTCAAGAGGTATTTTATTACATTTTTCTTTTGATGCTATCTTTTTGGGTGGAGGACTTTTAGAGTCTTGTTTTATTTTGTTCCTGATTATTTGGATTTCTTTACCACTATCCGTTGAATGTATTTTTTTACCAACAAGAGTCTTAGACGATGCATTGATAGTTTTAGTATTTCGGGAAGATTCTGAAATTTGTATAACATAATAATATTTTAAAAATAATAACAATTTTGTCCAAAGGACTACATATTTATTATTTTATGCTACCTTTGCCTTTAAATATGGGGTCATTTTCTTTAGCTTGTTTATTCCTAGAAGAAGATACAGTGACATTCCTTCTAGTATTATTTGTAGGGCTTGCTTTATTACTTTGCTTTACATCTTGGGAATCTGTTAAAAAAGAATATACCAGAAATGTTAATATCTACTTCAATTGTTGTTAGGATTCTTACCTTAATGTCCACAATTAACTATTCTAAATTAAGGTAACCATAAAGTTGTATAAAAATTATATAGTACAAAAACAATCATTTAGACAATATGTTAAGAAAAAAGAAAGTAATTTAAAATAGTAACATAATATAGAGTTATGTGTATGTAAAATTAATAGTAATTTCATTCCATATTTGTATAATTTACTTTATTTATATGATACTAGCAGATCTGACAGACGTAGGTCCTGCATGATATTTCAAGCAATTAGGATATTAAACAAAGTATGCAACTACCGACTTCAGCAAAATCTAAAACATCTATATATATCATATAGCGCAAACAAAAAAAATCATTCAAATTGGTCCAGCCGTTTAAGAGGAGTTCAGTGACATACACACTTACAGTAGAAATATATATTATATAAAGATGGTGGACCATTACATGAAATACATGTATGCCAAATCAGGATCTGAATAGCCTAGATGAATAAATATTTAATATAAACAAGCTACTTTATGATATGAGCAAACATGTGTTCAAATCATAAAATAGTTCAATAATTTTGTTTGTTTCCACTACATTGAAGAACCATATTTAAATAATTAAGTACAGGTTATATTCTAAGGACAGATAGCTTAGGCAGAATCATAATAAAGTAAAATAATTGTATGGTTTTTATGAAAAATATACATCATTATAAGTAAAAAAATAGTATCATTATCATTTTACTTACAATATGAACTAAGATTACTTACAATATCACAAAAAAAATAAAAAATTTCAACAATCACCAAAATGAGTCTACTTGTAAACTGGCCTATGAAATGTATGAAATCTGCTGTTTGGCTGGCATAAAAACTAACAAATAAAGTTTTATGTTAATTAATAGACATAACATTTAAAACAAAATTAAAATACTTACATTTTGTTGAATTAATTAATCTTGATGTACTTCTCTGAGATGACTGCTTAAGATCCTTTGTTTCTAAAGCTCTGTTTACCACTTTGGTATATGAACTTTTTATCTCTCGAGCTGCAAACAGTAAATAAATGTAATGAAATAAAATCATTAAGTAAGCCATCTTACAATTATTAATCCAGTAGTAGTATTATAAATAAACATACAAAATTTGGGATGAAGACTGTTTTCGTCATCTTCATCAATTGTTACAATTTTCCTTTTTGAGTAACCTGTTGATGCCATCTTTGGAATACTAGCCATCTCTGTTTTTAATGACCTAGTAGATCCTATTAGAGGCTCTTCAATTGAAATAATACGCCGCAACCTGGGTTCTAAGGCATAACTGTTCTTGGGCCATTTTTCTATAATAGAAATTAAATGTATAAAAACAATGCATAAGTCCTACTGAGTACTTTGTCAGGATATATAATTTAAATACAGATTACATATAAATGATTTTATATATATATATATATATATATATATTAACGCAATTGAAACAGGAAGCTAAATTTTATTAATAATCGAAATAACACTTACCTATGGTACTGAAATCGCATTCAGGCAAACGAGTGTATTTAATAATTGAACTCTTCTGTTTCTCACTTATTGGAAAGGCGTTTTCTATTTTTACAAACAAACTACACAAATTATTAATTTCTACATCTTTTTGAAGTGACGCAGGTGCATCCATAATATACGCACTAAATCGACTGAACACTGAAATTTTTTTGTTATAAATATTTTAATTAATACGGATAAAGCATATTTAACCCATTAAGACTGCACATTTGTATGTGCTTTAGTCTGCTTAGGCACATAATATGTTACTGTGACATATGTAAAATAAAAACGTTATCTTAACACATCAAACACATATAATATTGTTATAAATTGTAAATTTCACAAAAGATTTTCTACTTGATAGTTGATATTTAAAAACGAAAGCGTCGTATGTCAACTATCACTGTCTAATCTATGTCCTATGAATGTCATTTTTCTTTTTTAAATTTCTGTGGCCTATTCCTGGATTTTCTCCTAATGAATTTGTCTATAGACTAGTGCATGAGCATACAATATTATGATACTGTATATTTCATGTGCAGACCACACATTATATTGAAATAAATCGTCTAACTTTAAGAGGGTTCCTACAAAAATGAGTGCGCGTGTATAGAGTTGAGACGTTTTAGTATTAACATTAAAAAAAAAACACAATTGCTTTTATTGTATTTCACTTTTAAGCTTGAATATTCATAAGCATTGCACACACATAGTAGAGTTTGAAATATTGCAAACCTGGAATTATGAAAACATATAAACATCATTGTGGTTTTATTTTATATTAGGTACGTGAAGTTGTATATATAGGTATTACATAGAGTTAAGTAGACATAAAAGCGTATCATATAAGTACCAGATTTGGAAATAAACCAAGACGTATTTAATTTGTCGCACTTCTCACTCTTAAACAAACACCATACTATATCAAATCAGATAAGTATACAATGTGTCCTTTCGATGCATCTGTTTTGAGTCTGTTTATGATAATAGGTATATGACTTATAAATATGTAACAATAACAAAGCTGTCCTTATTTTAATAATGTTATCATAACTTCGTTTTCCTTGTTTTGTTATCAATAACTACGTTTAACCGACATAAAAAAGTTATCAGTTTCACCTTTATGTACCTATGTCATATTGTTGGAATTGAATAATGTTTCAGAGTGATAATCTGGCTTTTAAGCACGTAAGCCAAGTTTCGTATGACATTAGTCCACAATTATATATAGAGATAAACCTTTAGCCTAAGTTTAGAAACAGAAATAGTCCAATGTACATCCAAATCCGTTCAGAATCTATGGGAGACGTGTATAATATAGGAACCTAGGTAAATATTTCCATCTTCATAAATAAATAAGAGTACCATTTCAATTAATGTCCTCTGACTCTCTTCATCACAGCGTAAACGAAAATTTACGAAAAAGAAAACTAACAGTTAAGGATGACTAAGTATGGATTAATTGTCTTTTATACTTATTTTACTTCCTTCAAAATACATAAAAAGTGGTTGAGCAATTAAGCAATAAAAATATAAGAAATAATCGACATGATGAACATTCAAATAAACAACGTCAAGTTTTTTACGTATTAAATAAAATGATTAATTGACACAGATATTATATTTAAATTAGGGATTAGACAGGCGAAGCCATTACTTTCAGACATGCTACGTAATCGTCGATTCGACTAATCTGTAACCGTTTTGTGTCAACTATCACTTACTGAGGTATAACAATCAATATTTCTAATTATGGATTTTTAAAGCTTGATATATAACAGCCATTGATATACAAAAAACCCAAGATGCACAGTCTCGAATAAAAGTAACGCTCGAAAGTGTCCCGAAACACTATTTCTGTCTCTTTCTATGAGTTACAAGCATATATTATTGCAAAATCAACCTTACGCGAATTGTTTAAAGTTGTTATTACAACGCAGTGTTCTTAAAGCAATAAAATTTTACGACCGACCGTGGTCGGTAGGACAAGGCATTGAGTGGAGTCGAACATGACTTTTTTATTTACAACTATTTAACATAATTTTAAATTTATCCGACGTTTCGCGTGCTTTACAGCGTGCGTGGATGTTAAATAGTTGTAAATTTATAATAATACATAACTTTAATCCGGTTAAAAAGATTTTTCTTTAAATTAAAAAAAATGTTAAATTGGCTACCTCCTGACCTACACTTTATATAGCGTAAATATATTTGTCAAAAACTACACACAAAAAAGTTCAAAAGTACATAAATTTATTTATAAAAAAAAAACACAAATAAATAACATCGACTCCACTTATTAGAACAGGGTCATTCTTATAATGCGACTAAAATAAAAAGAAGATTGTAATGCGTTGTTCTAACACTGAACAAGCAGCCATTGAAGTTGGCCGTATAGAATTTTGTGCGTTGAATGAAGTTTTTAGAAAAAATAAATAAAAATCACATATTGCTTGTTATAATCAGTCATAAAAACAACAAAAACTAATCAATAAAGTTTTTTAATTACCGAAAATACGATATCCCATCCTTTTTTAGCCTTCTTGACGTTATATTTTTACAATTTCTCACAGAACACTTTGGCATTTTTAACAACTGCTCCCAGACGCGAGCGACGCGAGACTATTTGAAATGAGCGCACAATTTAGAATGTTGCGCTCATTTTTTGAGGACGTTTTTCAGACGTTGAGTGTGCATCTTGGGTTTTTTGTATATCAATGATAACAGCTATTTTTATCCATAACACTTTTTAAACCTATATTTTTTTTTTAAATAATTTTTTTAATCCATCTGCAATGGGCCTCTTTGCTTTAATCAGATTTCATGAGAAATGATGGCAATTAGGGAACGCAAGTCCAATATTTTTTTTATTCCCTCCGTAATTCGTAAACTGTCAGACTGCGGCAAGTTTCGCCCTTCTCAGCCGACACACACTGTACGTCGTTTCCAAGAGGCCTAGGGGGGTTGACGTGTTGCTAGTCTCCTTTTGTATAGCACGGTTGATCTTTTAATGTCTTCCTCGACAATGGCAATTCCCAAATATTTTTTTGTAGCCCCTGCAGGATTTCGATATTAGAGCGGCTTGTTGACCCCCAGAGCTGTATCCCATAGAGCCATATTGGTTTTATTACAGTTTTGTAGATGAAAATTTTATTGTCCAAACGCGAGCCATTTCTACCTAATAACCAGTTCATGCTACGAAGCCTACCAATAGCATGCTATTAATAACATTTCTGTATAGACTACTTTTAATAACATTTTATTTCGCATTCTATCTATTAATTTTTTGACCTGGCAGTAAAAGCTAGTAAGCTGAGTAGTTGTCAGTTGTCACTTAGGGGGTGGAGCGTGCGCCTCTCAACCGTGGCGTGCGTTCAACTGAAGACGTGCGTTCGAATCACGGCTGCTCACCAATGAAAATTTATTGATATTGGGTGCTTTATCACTCGCTCGTAGGGTGAAGGCTGATCATCTACAAGCCTATTACGAAAAATAAATAATAACGAAATAGACACAGAAATCTGAGGCACTTGACACGGACACTTGGGGTAGTAGGGCCACTGGTTTAAAAAATAAAAACTACTTGGTCATGAAGGGTCTGCCAAAAACAAAACGTAATACCATGACCACAAAACTATGAGACAAAAACCATAAAACTCTTTATTAGTGAGAGACAATTTAAAACCACAACATTTTATTTTTATTATTCCATGTATTATGTGATTATTACATACACACCAAAGTAATAACAAATCAATCAACTTCTTATAATTAATTAGGAATTGATTATATACATTAAGATTTATTTATTTTTAATTGTACATACACATTCATTTGAATTAATTCATAAATAGGTCTACATAATTTTAGTGACTACAAAATTTAGGGCAATATTTAGGACCGAGACTTATTTCAAAAACGTGTTTGATTTACATACGGGATTTATAGTTCGCACTACTATCTCGTTTCTGAATGTTACCCATATTGTGACCACTTTGATTTTGCACTAATAATATTAAAAATCATATTATACACAGTAATCATATAATTCGTAGCGGTTCAGGGAAAGCTATTTAGACGGATACATCGACTATACTATTACAATACAATACAATTTTAATATCTTAATAATAATTATCATATAATTAATAATTTCTCTAAATAAATATGTATATGCAATCCCACTGACGTATGGGTAACATAATAGTTTGTGCTTTAAAGCTGTAGGCACGGTAAGAAATTATAACCCTTATCTACTCTACACATCTTTGAATTCGATTTCGTCTATACATAAAACACTTAATTCATATCATAAATTTTGTCTACAGATAAACAACAAATAGTCGATTGATTAAAATTGATATTTAACTACACTTAATTCATTGTTCTTAATTCACTTACTTGACAGTTTTGGTTTTCATTACATTGAAAAATACAATTTTCAGTAGCTGCAACCCATGTAACACTCACTTTCTTAAAATGTTCAGATTATAGTTCCACACTAAAATGTTGACCCGCACAAAAATATATCCTTGGGTACCCACGCACAATAAAAATGTACTTTAAAACACGATGGCATTCTTATAATCGTTTCTACTATAAATAAATTTTGAAAATAAAAATCAGTTCCGACGCTTTTAATCTCACTCCGCATATATATCTAGTGTTTATATATCACAATCTAAGGAAAAGTACATGAATTTGTCAGACCTTAACCGTCATGGACGAGTTTTGGTTGTTTTACGGAGTTCTAAATGGGCCTTGTTGTATGACATCACCGTTTTTTGCATCTGTTTAGGCAGAGTTGCGAAAGCTGCAATTGAGCCTTCAACAACATCATTCCTCCGATAAAAAAGCATGTACGGTGTGTGTGAACGGTCGAGCCTGTTAATACCAGTCTCGTCTGTTGCTTTCACTCTGGAATCGTCAAATATATACCAATCGTTATTATCCTTTCCCAATGTGTAATAATGCCCAGCATTCATGGTGGTGCCGGCGTGAATAACAGCAGCGAACAAATTGTATATGTTTTTATCCGTCTGGGAACGCAGAGTGGGCAATGTGACAGATGTATTGTACATTACGGAGTGCATTAATTTGGTCTGAACGCGTAGTTTTGTATCGTACCTGAAAATATATTAAGTTTACGTTAGGCTTTTAGGAATATTAAGTCTGTGTGAAAAGAACAGCCGTGCTGATTATTAAATAATATATTCCTATTAATAGAGCCTTTTATTTTTAAAAATGCTACAAAAAAAAAACTATAATACAAATTCATATCATTAGTTTTTGAATTAAGGAACCCCATGACAGACCTCCTGCAACCCAAAGTTCCCTTTCTTGGGCTTTCCGTTTCGTAATAGATGGCTATTTAGTTAAAAAACAAATAAAACGTCAAATTAAATGTAAAGTTAACAAATCTTATGATCACTGTCCAATTAGAATGACGTATTGTCAACACGGCTCTTTCCGCACAGACTCTTATCTAGGTAACATAAAACGAGATTATACACTCTATTCGATTGGTATCGATATTGGTCAACAGGGTCTCAAGTCGAATACGAATTGAGACGTGTCATGGAGCGGTACATGACATTACGCCCGCTTCACCACGTTTCAAGTGTAAATTTTTCGTCTCACGCACCTTCTTACACTGGGTATGTAACAAATCAAGCAAAGAAATACGTCATCTATGCTCATGCATTATTTCTACTCCGTCCTTCATATGAATTTATAACCTACTACAGGGTGAGTGTGGAACGTAGCGATTAATTGTAATTAGTCAAACGTATATCATGATGCGTATTAAACTAGTGACGCTGTTGAACAATCGGAGGGCGTAATGTACGGTTTTCGTTTTATACGTACGGTAACACTGAAAATGTTTAGAACTGGCCAGTTAGAAACATTGCTATTGAAACTTTTTTAAATTTCAATCAGGCTTCACTATTTATAATTGGTTTAACGAGTTTAAGCTTGGACAATCTCAATGATGATCCGCGTGAGGGACGTCCTTTAACAGCGACTACTGAAGATAACATCAGTGTTGTGCGACGCATGATAGAGGAAGATAAGAGCGAAGAATGGGCCCACTGCTTTTCTCAGTAGTTCCATCCAATGTGACGATGTGTAGAGAGGAACGGAGATTACTTCGGAAAACAATAAAAGTATTGGCAACTTTCTATGTTAAGCCGTTTTTCATTTTCTAAACATTTTCAGTGTTACCTAGGTATCATCACCCCGATAGATAATTACTAAATTAAATTTAGCAAAACAGTACTGGAGTGATGTTTTTGTTATAATTCCATAGGCAATTAAATTAATACCTTTTTTGCAATACAAAATTTGAAATACAGATACAATATGTATATATCAAAATAGATCCTTTATAAGAAATATTTGATGATATAAACGATATTGACTGACTAGGAAATCCGAAACACTTTTTATACCCGGCAATGAAACCTGAGATTGTTTTAAATACAACTCACGGCATAGATAAAAATGCGAGGCTTATACTTGAATTTCGTACTTAAGGCAGGGAAGCTTTAACAATCCATCTTCCAAATATAATTGTTTCATCGTCTTATACTTGAGGCAAGCCTGCGGTACCTTCTTTTGTCGTGAAGAAATATGTCTCGAGGCGCTATTGCTTGAGGAATTCGTTACTGTGCAAACCCGCTTAAACCCTACAGCAATCGCCCGAGGCAGAATACGCTAACAGCGTGGCCTTATCTGCAACACTTGCGGTGTCTACCTGCCATCCGTCCAACCGAAATTATATTAGGTCCTTACATATTAAATTGGCGTATTGTATGGGAGGAACACAAATTAGATTTTTGAAGTTATACTTCTTTAGACGCGTTATGAAAAATTGATGAGAGTGAAATTTTACGATGCGCGCGCACCGTGACTCAAAATTAACAGAATGAATTTTCCCGTGGAAGATGCTACGGCGCATTGGACATAATTTAAAAACAACATTCCAATAATAATAGAATTTATGTTACACTTAATGTAAGAGAATAATAATAAATATTTATTTATTTAATTTTTCAAATGTAAACTGAACTTTATTGACAATAATGACTCCTTTTCCAGTCTTTGATTATTTAATTGTAATTAATTATTTGCATGCAATCAAAAACTATTTTTAATAGTGCCAAAGAAGTATAACTTCTTACGCGCGTACATAAGTACACGCACCCTTTTTTTTTTGAATAGAATATATTTAAATAATTAAAGTTTGTACTATTGCTATCTATGCACTTTCACCACCTTAAAGGTAGTTAATTGATCACTTTACTAAAAAATCATTCGAACGGGAATCAATAAAATCTTTGAAGGCAGTTTCGACTTGACAGAGTTGAATTTTTTACCTTGCAAGAAGTTATCCAAATTTCGAAAAAAATCATAATCTGTTGGAGCAAGGTCCGAGGAGTCTTAGACGTTCCAATTAAAGTTCCTCTAATTTGGTAGCAGTCTGTTGTGCAGTGTGTGGTGCTAGCTATCTTTTACATCATGGTTTGTAGTTGCTGACAAAAGACGTCTGCCGTAATCGTCTGGCCAGATTTATTTAAGAAAGTTATATTGAACGATCCCGGCACTAGTCCACCAAACGCTCACAAGTAACTTTATCGGAGTAAATTTTCGCTTGGGGCACGTTTTGGCTAGTTCGGCCGGGTTCAGCTATTCCGATAAGCGCTTCCGATTATCGTACAGGATCCACTTTTCATCACAGTTAATGATTCTATTTAAAATCCCTTCATTATTGTGCCGGTTGAGTAATGTAACGCAGCAGAAGACGCGCGATTGTCGATTTTCTTCAGTAAATTTTTGAGGTTTTTTTCACCTTGCCAATTTGCTTCAAATGGATTAATACAGTTTTATCATTAACACCGCAACCTGTAGAAAACTCTGACGTAGTTTGCGATGGATCCGCTTCTACATTAGCCTTCAGTTCTTCGTTATCCTTTTTGATCTCCGGTCGTCCACGGGGCTTGTTCTGCAGGTCGAAATTACTAGAACGAAAACATTGGAACCAAAAACTCACTGGTTTTTTTCCGCCGCCATACACATTATTAATCCTTTGAGCCATTTCTGCAGCACTGGTGCCACGGTGGAACTCGTACTCGTAAATAACGCGATATTTCATGTTTTCCATTTCCATTCCATATAGAGTGAAGCAAAGAAAACAAAATAAAGCGGTAAAATAAAATTGAATTTGGAATTCCGAACCAAAGAGGAGATATTTGAGGTCAAAGTAGCCAGTACGATAATAACGTCTATTTCATATGTAAGGACCTAATATTATGTTTTCTGGTAAGCACATTGAACTTTATTGATGCCTTGCTGTCAGACTTTGTTATTATAAGTATATTGTAGGAATATATTGGTTAAATAATGTAATCAATCAAGAAGTTTTTCGTTGATTTGTAGTACTAATCTTTCCTCTTCCGATGAAGATGAATTATTTGAAATTAACATTTTACGAATCACAATTATCGTATCAAATAAAATATCGCTGAAACTGTATACCAAAACTTACTTGAACGTTTTTAAAATAATTATCAGTATTTTCGGGGTAGATTCAATAGTGACACATTTTTCTGCATCACGCAAAATATTACACTCATGGCATTGGTACTTATTCTCGCCCGTTAATATTTCATTAGAGAAATAAAAGTCGATCAGCCCTTGAATAGTGTACTGGTTGCCACCGGATTTCTCTGGGAACGCCAATTGTAGATCACGGCAAACATCTCTAGAGCGTGAAGAAGAGCCACAATGTATGCACGTTATACGAGTGAGGAATACTCCAGCGAATACACTGTTAATGAACGAGTCGTTAAAACGTCGCCGTTTTGTGGTAATATTGCTTTCGGCACCAGTGTGACGTTTTAGACTGCACGGACCAGCTGGAAATAAAAAATCTTTATATAGTGCGTTCGAATACAGGTTCAATAGCCTTTCGTTCTATGGGTATTTAACAATCGCTTGTACGCTGAACGAACACATTGCGAGGAAACCGACATGCCAACCAAAATTCGAAATGTATCAGGCACATAAAACTGTCTATTAATATGATCATGAAATACAGATGGGGGCTATGACCAAGAGTTGTACTGGTTTTATTTACATTACTTTAAGTATTGAGTTCATAACATGAATCATGTCAGTTTTTTTTAGATAACATTGATATTAACAAAACATTAGTTGTCCTGATCTTACCACTATTGATGTAATTTTGTCTTATTGAAAGAAAAATTTAGAACTTACTTTTAATTACTATTAATCTCTGTTTAAAGAATTAATTCGTTTATATGAATGAACTTGAGAACAGTGATGGACTAGTGGCTTCAGCGTGCGACTCTCATCCCTGAGGTCGTAGATTCGATCCCCGGCTGAGCACCAATGGACTTTCTACGTGCGCATTTAACAATCCTTCGAACGGTGAAGGAAAACATCGTGAGGAAATCGGCTGCCTTAGACCCAAAAAGTCGACGGCGTGTGTCAGGCACAGGAGGCTGATCACCTACTTGCCTATTAGAAATGATAATGAAACAGATTCAGAAATCTGACGCCCATATTTTTTTATATGAATGAACTTATACGCTGATTACAATCTAAATAATGTAGGTAATAACAGCATTCAGGAACATTAGAAATACACACCCGCGTTACTGGATTCTGGAGTTTGTGACGACGTGCATGGCTTTTCGGAAACTTTTGGCTCGTTACTGCAATTTAAAATAATAAACACATTAAAATTCAAAACTGCCCAATTGCACACGAAATAAATGTTGATGAGCATATCTCCGTATAAACGCTGCATATTGATGAGAGCGGCGATTGCCTTCTTCGACATATCAAATAGTTTGGAGAGTAAAATGTTACCGTTAGTATACAGTTTAACACTGATAGGATTGCGAGCCTAGTTGTCCGAAAGTGCATTTTTTTGTACCACGCGATTGTAGGCCCATCTTCCAACCACTAGTTGGCTGGGGCACCTGGAGCGCATGGGTCATGATCGGGCGGTAAAGGAAGTTTACCGGAGCCTAAGTGATCATAAACCAGTAGGTCGGCTTGCTACTGCTGGATTGACAAACAGCAGCTGCAGCTGAAAGCCAGTAATTGGCGAAGGTGGCATAGGACAGAGATCACTGGAAGCTTCTCCAAGGCTAACACACTTTGATCGCAGACCCAGCGAAGAAAGTGAGTGTCAAATTGTAGAATTTAATCGAAATTTCAAACTAAAAATATACACATAAATAATGCGCGCGGTATGACCTACTTCAGCATGGCCGGAAGGCGATTAATAATTACTACTGACAGAATTTAAAAACACAGAAGTTACAACGTCCATTATTAATCATTCAATCAGTTATCGATTTACTGTCAAGTTGAAGTTTTATTTTCATTTATAGTCTCTTTTATTGCTTCTAATCATAGACTAGAGTTTTGGTGAGATTCAAAGATGGGAACATCACGAACTATGACCGGCAAAAGCCTATTATAGAGGCTATAATATTATACTACATTCATAACTCAAAATAAGCGTTTAGTTTTTATTTTGGTATTGTAATTGTATCTAAAATATTATATGTATTTAATTTAGTTATGTACTTTATATTTCTTTTTCCTTACTAAGGTTGCCTGGAAGAGACGGCTGGTTAGCGGTATGATTGTTACTTTATGTTATTTGAAGGTATGGACCAAATATGTAATGGAACAAAGTGTTAATAAATAAATATATTTTAAATGATTGATTATACCTCTTGCCATGGCCCGACTTGCCATCAGTCACGCTCGTTCGGCTAGAATTTAGCACGACTGGTGTATTGTAGGCAAAGTCAGCATCGGTTACTGTACTATTCTCATATGATTTTAACAACTCGAACAAGTACCTAAAATCAATATTTTTTAAATGGGTTTGATGCTTATTATGTATCTCACTATTTTATGTTATTTAGTATCATCCTTAGGTTTAGTACGTACACCACGGACCAAGCAAGAAAAAAAGCTTTAAAATTATGAAAAAAGAGATTTAAATATATGAAACTGTAACTGTTTATTAGATTATAGGCTAGATAGGTAGAATTAATTATAATGCTATGAATACTAAAAAACAGTAATTTCCACTTACCCCAGGAACTCAAAGCAATCGTGTTGTTGCTTCGGCACAAAAAAGTCCGGTTTGGCGACCGACACAAACGTTGTTGGTTTGATACATGGAGCAACTGTATGCATCATGGTCACAAATAGTGCCGACATTTTGGCCCAATAGGGTTTTTCATACATTTTGAGCACCGCATAATTACTAAACCTGTTGGACAAATAAAATGCGAAATTTTAACAATTGCGTAACAAATCAAAAACTTAATATAAAATTAACTGCCTTCTCAATAAATGGACAATCCAAAACAACTTTTTTTTGATGTTCATATTAGGGTTTTGACAGGCCGCACTATAAATTAAACTTAAACAGGATAGGCCGATACAAAAGTAAGCTCGGATCTTCGTGCAAATGTACAGAAAGAAGTATCTATTGACGAGCGTACAACGAGCGAACCATATATAATAGCATAAACAGCAGCAAATAGAATTCGCTAAAAATAAACTCGCGGCAGCTGACCTCATATAGTCAAGTCCCAAAAACAGTTTTGGTATCTGTTATTGATTTCAATTTAATTAAAATACTATATAGAAATTTTCGCGACTTTTTGAATGCTTAACAGTCAAGAGACTACAAAGAAATCATATAAAAGTATTAATTATATTTAAAGAATCACTCGCGCAAACCAATAATCCTATTCTTTATAGCAAAAGAGGTAACTATTATTTCGCTAAATGCTTGTACAACGCAGGGAAATAGGCGGTATTGAAGATTGTGGAAGTTAATCCATAGAAGTCGCTACAAACTTCACAGAGCAGGCATATTTCTGCATATACGAGGGGCGGTCAATAAGTTCGCGGAATGGCGTGGGTGAGTTTACTTTTGTATGCGCTAATTGAGTGACTTATTGTTAGTATATATAACAATTTTCAGCCTAATCGGGTCATTATCTTCTGAATTATCAACGAGTAAACAAGTAAATCGGGAAGAGACTAGCCAATATGGAAAAAATTGAGTATCGCGGCGTTATAAAGTTTATGCGTGGAAAAAGTTTTGTGACGATGAGGAAGTAAAGTCGGCCATTTCGGCCTATTTCTTTCAAGACAAATCTTTTTTTTCGACGGTATTAATAAGTTATTTGATATATATGATTAATGTATTAGGGTTAAGGGAGAATACATTGAAATGGAAAAATAGTTTAATGTTTCATTTCATTACCCTTCCCTATCATTCCGCGTACCTTTTGACCTATTGAATTTGATTTTATATTATTCTTAAAGGCGATTAGCCAGCTATGTGCTGCTGTGCTACGAACCGCTAGCTAATTAGCTTGACAGGAATCAGACCAGATCACCAGGGTATAGGTGCTAAAAATTAGCTTAGCATCTTCTCCTCTAGCTCAAATATATTTACAAAAATCGCATATGGCTAGCGCAAAAAATACATAACGACACATTAAAAGCAGCATACAGCATATTAAAAGCGATAGAAACTGAATTTATATCAAATATTAAACCACCTCTCTTCGAAAATTCTGTGGAAATACAAATGTTCCGAGCACAAAATGATCACGTATTTACGTTTAAATTCAGAAATGTTCTGCTCCATTACGGTACCTACTCGACTGTGCAGTATATACTTAACCATATTGCTTTTTGACTAAAGAATAATTAAAATTGCGATATTACTCATTGCTTAATGTTAAAATAATAATAAAACATAGATTAAAACTGCATAAACTACAGATTAAACTTCAAATACGTTTACGCACAGCTTAAAATTCAATGAAAATTAGAGATTAATAACCTCACAAAGAAGTGTGCTACCTTCCTATTTAATATTAACGTAAAATTATAATTTTAATCAAAATGGATGCTTTTTTATTATAATACATCTATAGCTTAACGGCATCAAAGGAAATAATACTCACTGGTGTATCAAAAAAAGAGCTTGCATTACACTGTTGATGTAGCAAGTATTGCCAAGATTTTGTAGACCAACTTTAGGACTGGTAACAATATCTACCTTGGCTGGTTGGCCAGTTTTTCGCGACTTCCATATAGGATCCATTATTACCGTAGAATCGTTTGTTACCATATGACGTTCCAGATGCTTGATCTAAAAAAAAACATCGATTGTCTTTAAATTATAGTTTATAAGATTTTCTTGATGTCTCAGCATTGCACACCCTCATCCCTTCGAATATAAAAATCGCTCGTACCGGCAACGGCAGGGTATGGCTGGAAATGCCGCCACGGAAACTAGGTTGCGTGACGATGGAAGCTATACTATACTTACCTATTAAGAAAGAAATTGACCACGAAATATATACAGAAATCAGAGCCCAAAAGCAAAGGTTGAAGCGCCACTGGTTCTCATATAATTTCGTAAATGTGTCGGCATTAAAATAACTAAACTAAAATAAACGATTCGTTCAAAACGCTCGATATTCTTTGTCATGTGTCAGTTTACGTATAGTAATAATATTCAGTCAATACATTGGTCATACAATAATTACAATATTCAATAATGAAAAACATTACTGCATGTTTTAAAATATAAAAAATTACATCTAACTCCGATTGAATAAGAAAAAAACGATTAAATGTGATTAGGTTTTATCTTGATTAATAATAATATAAGTTTAAAGATGAAAAAATAAGAATAAATTACGGTCGATCTGAGGTCGGGAAGGGGATTTTTTGCATTTTCTGAGAAAATTTACTATGGTAATATATATATATTTTTTTACCATAGGAAAGTAGAGATTTCAACGAACTGAAAGCACACCAACTTTTTGAAAAAAGCTGAAATTTTGACGTCAGAATTTTCGATTGAAAATTAGGGTGTTTTTTCGATATTAATTCAAAATAAGGTGAACAAATAAATATTTTTAATCAAATAAATTACAGCGTATTTGGGACATAGAAAGGTAAGTTTTCACCAAATTTCGTTAAAAAAAAAATATTTTTGTAAAAGATAAAAATTAAAAACCAAAAACTTGGTTTTTTGAATTTTTCACATAAATTTTGAGGTTATGTGAAAAATGTGTGAATACAAAAGTTTTATATCTTTTTATTACCTACAACTTTGCCATTTAACTTTCTTCGATAGGACTTTTAGTTTTGCCGGAAATCGAGATAAACCGTTTTTTACCCTTAAAACTCCCCCCCCTACCCCTTCCCGACCTCAGATCGCCCGTAATTTATTTTTCCTTTAATTTTTATAATAATCTCCTCCTTTTCCAATAGGTTTCATCCTACTATTATTTTTTTAGGTTTCAAAAATTATCGGCACTGGTCTATAAACAATTGTACCTAAGAAAATTAACATGAAGATTTCTTTTATTAGTTCTCTCCTATCATTTAACTTCAATTAAAAAAATATATATATTCCCTACCATATGTATCCCTATGATGTGCAATTGCAACAAATTCTCTCCTTAATTACAATTATTCAGAAAAATTAGGTATACTTACTACATAGCTGTATTTGTCCCGGAACATATAAAGCTGGACGCCCTTCAATGACTGCATATTATAATTGATCATAGAAGTCAGAATATCAACTAGGCTTCCCAATAGTTGCCTGCTCCATTGCCTGCTATCAGCAGCTAGAGACTCTAGGATTTCACCTATATGCTTGGATATCTATAAAAATAATTTATATGTAAAAATGATTGAATAGTATATGTATTATTGTTAGCTGCCGCACGAATCTCGACTCTTTTGTGCGATTGAGACCCAGCAGTGCACCCATATATCTACCTGAATATTATTTTAGTTGCTTATAAAATATCAAGAAACAGTAATCGGAGGTTTAGGTTCTGATTTTTATTTATTTTCAATAATACCTAAAAAAATACTAAATTTAAGATCTGAGTAAAGCAATTCGCATTATCTGCCTACATGGGCATATACCAATTGCGTATAAAAACGACTTGGAATCAGCGTCCGTGGAAACCTATTTTTTTTCAGTTTAAACAAGCCATCAAATATCAAAAGACGTCTAAAAGTATATACTTATCTTATATCATGCCTTTAAGTAATTCTACATAACTTATTAGTTACATAGACATACCTGGTCAAAGGCTTCAGGCGACTCCCGCAACGATATCAATAAATGTAGTATTACATCAGCAACGGGTTGTTTCCGAGTAGCTGGACTTATCAGCACAGAAAAGAGATTACCTATATTCTTCACGGACTCCTCAATAAGAATATCATACATTTCATTTTCCTAGAAAAAGCATTTATATGTTAAGCTGAATAGAACAACTTTGAATCACGGAATTAAACCAGTATGAATAAGTTCTTAGTAAGAAAAACATAAAACGTGAGACAAAGAAAGCTAATTTAGATAAATACAAATTTAGAGCGAGAAGTATGTTACCTCTAGGACCTTAATAAAGCATAGTATCCAGTTGCTTAGATAAGGTAAAGTATACGACTCTGAAAGCCAGCGAAATAGACACGAGAGCGCCGACCGTAGACCGTCATCCGACGGGCTTTTTTTACTCTGTTGAATAACCCATCGCGCTGAGGACAAAGTAGCTCTGGGTTCGGGTGCGTCCATCACAATCAACACCACGGACGTGGCCGGGCAAGCATTGGAATCTATAAGTTATATTTTGTAAGTTCAAAATAAAAATAACGAACTTTCGAGTACTATATAAAAATCAAACAGAATGAAGATATATTTTTCAATTATTAATGTTGAATTTAATATGTAAACCTCGATAAGTTCAACACAAAGATGATTTTTCAGTTTGAACCTGGTATTCGCTCGTTTCATAGCTTTATATTTATGAACATAATTTTCAAATAGGAAGTCATTGGACGTGAGCTTCCAACCACAATCTTACAAGACCTTATGTAATAAACGAACATGCGATTTTTTTTTATTTAGTTACGAACGTATGTCTGTTATACATTTTAATACTTACTTGGATCCGAAATATAGGAATAGAATTTATCAATAATGGTTGTGATAATATCATTGCGTAATTTACAATCCACATTGCTTATTACAAAAACAAGAAACTTTTCAATGCTTCGTAGGCATTTCCAAAGCTCCTGCTCTGTGCCCGTCAAACGACCTTAAAGTAGAATATAAATATTTGAAATTTGAAAAGACAGATTGAGCTGGCTTAATATCATCTAAAATCTGTAATGTCTATATGAAATATAAAATACTAAATCATTAAAAGCTTTTAGTGCGACGGTCTGGGGTTCGATTACCTAATTATAAGTATTTCAGTCAATTTGTAATACAACTAACTTAATTTAACTAAATAAAGCTATGTAAATTTCATCTGCACTACTAATATCATTATATTAAAGGTAAAGTTTGTGAGGTTGAAGGGTATCCCCAGGGATCTAGTGAACCTAACATTCTTTTTCAAATAGAAAGTGTCTATTTGTGAGTGTCATGGGCTAATACTATAGGGGATATTACCCGAAAATTAAACTACTCTTCCATGGTAGTCCTATTTGCAAAGTAAAAACGATCGAACGAAAACGTTTCTTACGATCTCTGCCTTAACGACGAGAGATATGATTGAGTTGTAAATTTTTTTTGATAAAAAGAGCAAGAGCTGTCTAAATTTTGATACATGATATCGAATTTATTGGTTTTCACCAATACCTAGAATGTTTCATGAGGAAGGTTAAACTTTCAACTATAAGGAAGGTTTAATTTATTACTTTTCAAGGTATACGGGTTACGGTTGCCCGCGCGAAGCCGGGGCGAGTCGCTATCAAAATAAAAAAAACGCCTAACTAAGGTCGGACAGAAATGTATTGCTTATTTTCTTTTTCGGTAACTTTGATTTTTTTAACGTCCCAATGAATTGCCCACGGTTCTCTACAATTTTTGTTAAAAAACCCGATTACGATTTCTTACGGTTAACCCAAGCGGTTGGCTTCTTGGGGGAATCAGATAGAAAGTTCCAGATTTCATAATTTTTCCTATATTCCCGACACGGTGGTACTTTATTTACACTTAGATTTTTCACTAAACAATTCAGTTTGTATTTAAGGCCAAAATTCGAAAAACAATCAAACTACTACCCCAAGTAGCTGATCAAGTTGGTAAGAGCACCCCCTTTGTATCACCGTTTGAGATTCGGGTAGTCCACATTTTGGTGGTATAAAACTCGGAGACGGAGACCGGGAGACTAATTCCCAGTAGAAAACGCTTTGCAAAATTTTAGCGATCACCACAATCGGGGATTTTAGCCCAGTATGGGGGATATACTGTGTCTGGGTTTTTTGAACTGAAACTTCCAGCCCACTCAAATGTCACCAGTTCTTAAACCAAAACCGCAACCCCAATCCCTAATAAAAGGTGTCATCGATTAAAAAGACAGTAGAAAAACTTTTCGAATTTTCTGGCCATGTCAGATTTTTCTTCTACCCGTACAAAAACGTCAATGACCCCCCAATCCCCCCCTAATCTCCTTTTCCTCGAAATAAAAGCTAATTAATGAAACGTGGTAAATCCAACTTTACGAGGGGTGTTCAATAAATAGTGATAATGCCAAACATTCTCCTTCGAAAAAAAAAATGACAGACAAAGCCCAGAAATAAGATATAATTAAATAAAGAAGTCATTTGTATGCTTGAAAAATTTTACTACGAAGCTGGTAAATCAAGATTAGACAAAGGCAATAGCAGCATTAGGGGTACATGCTCTTACATATTCTACGGTTGTCCGTTGGAGTTTTGAGTTCAAGCGAGGAAGAACACATTAAATCAGTGGTAACCTACCAATTATTAAAAAAGTTATAAACATTGTGTCGTTGTGTTTCTTCTATAGCGGAAGAATTGAAGATTTCCATGGGAAGTGTCACAAAACCATTGGGGTATGAAAAAAGTGTCAGCGCGCTGAGTGTGAGTGAATACTTTCTGACCGGCAATTGATATTTTATTCCATTATGACCCGGAATATGTTAAATATGTATCAAAATAATGATTCTGTTCTGCTAGCGACATCTAGTTGTATGTAAAGAAAGGACTGCTTTGTGGGTCTATGTATGATTGAATTAAACTAGTCTGCCAACGTCAACCATTGTTTCATTATTATAGAATAGTCCATGACTTGGAGGATACCGTCATCTCTAACTCTTAAGAAATTTAAGGCGATTCCATCCGCATGGGCATTTTTTCTGGGACAGCCAAGGGGTAGTAATGAACGAATACCTTAATCATGACGCCACTATTACTTGGACTTTGTATTCAAGACAAATAACAAAGTTACGTGAGGTAATATGGAAGCAACGGTCTGGCTAACTCTAAAGTCCAGAGTTCAAGAAGCTGGCCTCGAATTGATGGAAGATCCTCCATATTCAGCGGTATAAATTTGAATACTATGACGAAATAGTCGAACAAAATTTTTCAAAAGGGGAATTTTAAGATGTACAAAGTGTATAAACCAAAATCGTGACTATGTCGAAAAAATTAAGTAACATTTAAAAAGATATTTTATAATTAACACTTTTTATTGAACACTCCTAGTCTATAGTATAACGATAATAATTTTAGTGTTATACTTACTTAGACACTGCACAACATTTTCACAACTTTGAATTAGCTCATTTGGAGGTGGCAGAAACACAGGTTTATCAACAATCGGTTGAATATACTCCACAAGTGTAGTCAAATTCACCTCTTCTTGATTCTCTCGAACCAACGGATGCTTCTTAACAGCCATTTTCTTTTTTTTGTCTGTAATAGATGACCCTTTATAAGTCATAATATGAAAACAAAAACCAACAGTATTTTTGCAAATATTTGAAAAAATCAATAAGATTTATTCTAAATAATTAACTGTTGGCACTGAATAACAGCTGGCACTCGAAACCGTTACTACTTTGATACTAAACTACAATACCTTCACCAACTTATTTATTTATAGTAGGTAGTTTATGCAACTGTCATATTGTTATGTTAGGAGGCTAAATTGTTTTGTTAGGAGAATAATGCTTTAATTTAATTTTTTTATTTTCATAAAGAAGTACATAAATAAAATATGCCAATAAAGTCTGTATTTCAATTAGTTTAATTAATTAGAATATTACCGAACCGAACCGAAACCGAACAAAAAATTTAAAAATGATATTAGACTAAATAAAGGATTATTATTTAGTCTAATTATACTAGATAAGGTTAACCTTAAAGACAATCTATAAATTTGAGGAGCATACACTTCTTACTGTGGTAATAATATTTCCCTTATAAAAATAAGAACAGAAAGTGGAGGCAGTATTACGAAAATAGCTAAGTTTACATTACTAAATGATGCTTACTCGAGTCATTGCACAAAATTGAAGGTGCATTTCATAAACTATCTATTATACAGCATAGTATCAGAATTTGTGTATGTATAATCTTTTGAATAGGAGAAAGTTACCATATCATGAAGATGCTACACTGTCAAATTCTTGACTGGTTCACTGTTTAATCTCATGAAATACAAGTACTGAACTTCTGAACCTAATTTTGTTTTTCTGATAAACCATACCTATTTATCTATATGCCACACAAATAAATCTCATTCTCTCTATTACAGAAAAAAATAGTGGTACTTGTGGTGTCTGGTTCTGCTTGAATTTGTCTATATTATTAGTAATTATAACCAGTCACTTAATACATTTTAATTTTAATCTTGATTTCCTAGGTGTTTGTGTTTTGTTTCCACTATAATGTAAGTTCATACTACTATTTTGCCTGCTGATGGTAGGCATTTGTTATATTATTATACAGACATTTTGTTTTAATGTGGTAAGTGAAACATGGTGCTCAACAATAAGCTAGATATCAATAGTTGCCATTTCTTACAATTTCTTTGTTAACCAACTAAGTGGTGGAGAGTATATTAACAGTTCTTCTCACCTCGTTTTTTTCCTTGTTTTGGGGAACTGGTAGTAAATGTAATTTTAGATTTTCTTTTAACACTGTACATGGTTACCAACTTGAAATCAATTTTGATTTGATTTGCATGAATTATGCAATTATTAACTTTAATTGATAAATAAAAATGCAAATTTAAAATTTTCCATTACAGAAATCTTAGTCATTCCAGGTCATTCAAAATACACTGTTTACAATGTGTGAATTGAGATTATTGGAAACTATGATTCCAATTAAGTTTTTTCTCCATTAGTAATAATTGAAGAGATTTATATATTATCCTCAAGGGTAAGATGTTGGTTATTAGCATGATATGTTAATCAATATGTAACAATGTTGATACAAAGTATTAATTGCAAAGAAAAATCTCAAACTGCAATATAATATAATACGGAAATGGTACGTATATATACGTATGTTGCACTCATTGACATTTCAATCCTGACAGAAACTATCGAAATCAATACATCAAGAACATCAGAATACGTACCTTGCAAATTTTCGTGTTGAGTATCATCAATTCACCAATGTAGTAAAGGACAAATTAAATAGTACATCTGCTATATTTTATATTTATGGTAAGATGAGCTAATCTTACTCAGTAACACGAAAAATCCCGAAATTTTTCAATTTCTAAGAGTATATGAGTTTTTCACACAATAGAGACCTTTCAATACTGTCCACCTTTGCTGAGACAGAGGTATAGATCTTACACAAAAACTGATTTAAATTATAATGGATGTAGAATTTAAGTAAACACAAAACATTATTTTTAGTTCACTATAAAACAGTTTAAAAACAAACAATACTCCGTTTTAATTTTTTTAATTTTAATGCCTATTTCAAAATTTCATGCTATTAAATCGCTTACAATAAAATCTCTGTAAAATCGAAAACCCATAGCGTAGAGTATAGTTGTATAGACAGTAGACTCAAGAACACAGAATAGAATACTCTGCCGAGTCTGTGGAAGTGTGACTAAAGTGATAAACATTTCACTTATAACAATCGAGGCATTTTCTTTAAACTTGCAAAATTACTTCCGAGTTATAGGTCTACCGGAATCTCATGGTATAAAACAAAAATAAAAAAATGAGATTTTCATACGCCAATGTCAAGTGTCAGCCGTCAAATCAAAGTATGATCTTCCGTCTTCGGTCTTGTGATGTCATTTTTGTTTTGGGTAACTCTGCTTAGATAAAATTCAATGTATCAAAATTATCAAATCTATCCTCACTGTGTGAAGACTTAGAACGTGACATTGGCGGAATTGTGATTAACACAGATGTCGCCATTATAAATAAAGTGAAGTGAAGTGAAGTCTTCGGTCTTTGTGAAATTTATTGTTTTTGTGAAGGTGTCGAAAAAGCCACTTCGATCTCAAGCGAGAAATATTGTTTTTGATGTTTATCTTATTTTATATTTTGATATTGATATAAAGTAAGAAGACAGTGTAAATAAACCCAATAATTGATTATTATTAGTTTATTTTATATTTTTATTCCGTACTTAATTGTGACCTCTTTATAGAGGTTTCCAGTATTACTATAGGTCTACCAGAATCTGATGGCAAAAAAAAAAAGTTTAAAAATTAGCGATTTTCATGTGGCAACAAAAAAAAATTTCATCTGTCATCTGAAATTTCGAGGAATTGTTTTTGGTTTGGCTTCAAATTTCCTTTAAAAAGTGGTGAAAATGTCGAAGAAACCTCTTCGATCGCAAGCAAGAAATATTAGTTTCAATGTTTATCAAAGAATACTTGATCAACAAGGTGCAGAACATACACAATCATCGATATTGAGCCATGTGCAAGTGTTGACTGGTTAGTAGGAATGACACGTCTTGATACTTTGGTTTATTGGATTACAGTACATAATAAGTTTTATTATGTACTTATATAAACTTTGGTTTATTTCAGGGGTTTCTAATACTACTATAAGACGAATTGTTGCCGAAGGCAGATCTAACAGAGGCGTATTTAGTACGCCCGGTAAAAAAAGGAAAGGTTGCAAAAAAAAATAAACTTGGATAGTTTTGATTTAGAATTGAAAAAAAAATCTCATCTATATGAGATTTTTAAATCACACGGCCACGAAGTCTCGAGGCTCCCACCATATCATTGTACGTTAAACCCCATAGAATTAATCTGGGGAATAATGAAACAAAAACTTGCGGGTAAAAACGTCAATAGATCTGCAAGTGATATAAATTTTTTATCAGAGAAGAGATTTAAAGAGCTTACTCTCAAGTAGGGAAAATCAGTTTATAGAACAAGATCAGTTAATTGAGATGCAGGAGGATATATTTATATTAAATACTGCGTCTTCCTCTTCATATGAAGACTTTTTATGGATGTGACGTATTTGGAACCATTTTCAAGTTCTAATTAAAATTAATAAACAAAAATAGCGTATAATTAATTAATAAACTCATGAACAGAGTAATTGGAGTTTTCATCTAAATTTCAAACCCCACATGGTTGGTTGGTTGGTTGGTTTGTGGACTCGTTTTCCGCACTTAGACGCTCACTAGGTCCGTTGTACGTGAGCCCTGGCTAACTAAGCCAGCCTAGCTCCTTCCAGAAGCACAGAAGCTTCCTGGGTACTTCGCAGGCTTCACGGAGCGACCTCACTGTTCCGAGGATTTCTGTACGTTGTTTAGCCACAGCCTCGCATTCCAGGACTACGTGGGTGACTGTTTCCTCTGCGTTGAAACAGCCTCTGCACATGGGGCTGTTTGTCGCGCCTAGGACATAAAGGTGTTTATTCATAACACTTCAAAGATAACCAATCAAATTATAAGAATATAATTAGAACTATTGCCAAGCGTTTTTATTTTCCAGGTAGTCATTGACACATTAAGGTTTTTTGATATGTGTTTTGAATCTGTTTAAAGGCAGTTCCAATATTTCACTAGGAATCATGTTATAGCAGCGTATACTTCGGCCCATAAATGAAGTATTTATTTTCTGCAACCTGTAAGACGGCTGGAAAAGTTTTCCCTTATTTCTTGTTTTCCTATTGTGAATGTCGCTGTTCTTTAAAAGAGAACTAATATTACTACGCACAAAAACGATACAGTTGTAAATATATTGGGAAGCTACCGTCAAAATATCGATTTTCTTGAACAAATTTCTAAGTGAAGTGCCTGGTTTCAAGCAATAAATTGACCTAATAGCACGTTTTTGCAAGATAAAAATAGATTGTATATCTGCGTCTTTGCCCCATAAAAGAATTCCATACGACATAACGCTGTGAAAGTAACTAAAATATACTATTCTGGCAGTTTCCTCGTCTGTGAGTTGCCTAATTTTCCTAATAGCGTATGCCGCAGAAATAAGCTTGTCAGAAAGTTTAGTGATATGCTGACTCCATTGAAGTTTTTGGTCTATTGTAATGCCCAGAAATACCGTAGAATCAACTAAATTTAGTTTTTTCATTGTTCAATTTAAGCTCTATAGTTGTAGTTTTGACATTAGGTAAAGTAAATCTTATGCATTTTGTTTTTGTGGCATTTAATTGTAAATTATTTGCAGAAAACCAGCACACTATTTCAGAAAGTGCATTGTTCACATCGTCAAAATTTGTCTTATATCTATTTACTTTAAAAATCAAGGACGTGTCATCAGCAAACAATACAATATCACATAATGGCTTTGCATAAGAAGGCAAATCGTTAATATATATAAGAAATAAAAATGGTCCCAATATTGATCCTTGCGGGACCCCCATTTTAATGTGTGATCCCGAAGATTTAGTTCCATTTATATCAACTTTATGAGTTCGACAACTTAGGTAAGAGGTTATTAAGTTAAGAGCTACATTTTTTATACCATAGTGGTCAAGTTTGCAAAGCAGAGTCTCATGATCAACACAATCAAAACGCCTTGGACAAATCGCAGAAAACTCCCAGTACATTTTGAGTTTTCTCCCATGCATCAAATATATGTCGTAACAGAGCTATTCCAGCATCGGTAGTGGAGCGACCTTTAGTAAAACCGTATTGTGCGTTGTGTAGAAGACTGTTTGTATTAAAGAATGTAATTAATTGTTCTAGTATAATTTTTTCAAAAACTTTACAAGTAAAGTTGGCAATATTGAGATGGGTCTAAAATTAGTAGGTTCTGTCCTGCATCTAGATTTAAATAAAGGTATTATTTTACTATGCTTCATTAAATCTGGGAAACTTCCTTCATCAATACAATTGTTAAAAATATACGCAAGATCTGGGGCAATAATATCTATAATGTCCTTAATAATACGTACAGAAACATCCCACAAGTCTCCAGAATGTTTTAATTTTAAAGATTTAAAAGTTTTAAGTACATCGCCAGCGCTAACGTGCTTAAACTGAAAATTTATTTTGCATTCCGGTACGTGACTTTTAAGAAAACTAATGGCCTCTTTGGGAGCGGAATTCAGAGAAGATGTAGTAATTACAGGTATGTTTGTAAAGAAATCTTCAAAAATATCAGCAATCTCTGAGCTTTCAACAATAATCTTATCATCTACCTTTAAAAAGAATGAATTATTACGGGATTTAAGGTTTCCTGTTTCTCGATTTATAACATTCCAAGTAGTTTTGATTTTATTACTTGAATTCTTAATTTTCTCACGTATATGCAATGCCTTTGTATATTCGCAAACTTTTCTAAAAGTTTTGGAATAATTTCTGACATATTCCATAAACACTGCGTTGTGATTATATTTTCTTAATGCATATAATTCATAAAGCCTATTCCTACTCTTAAAAATACCACTCGTGGCCCAGTCATCAAACTTGATTTTTTTGTTGCACTTTACAGTCTTTAATGGGTAAATACTATCAAACTCATTTTGAATAACATTAAACAATCTTTTGTATTGACTCTCCGAATTATTTAGAACAGAGTAATCTATTGCACAAACCTTAGAATTAATATTTTGCCTAAAACTTTCGATGCGATGTGTTGGGGCGATACTTAACGTGCTTGGCTTGATCAAATATTTTGTCAGAGAAGCCAACTATCAGACCACAATGGTTAGAAGTAAGGTTTGTTATTACTGATTTAGAAATAGGTTTGTCACTCGAAAATATGTTATCTAAACAAGTTGCTGAATGGGAGGTGATTCTAGTTGGTTCAGAGAATTGGTTTACTAAATTGAAACATTTAAACATTGAAATAAATCTAGTGCTTACTGAAGTACTTTCAAGTATGTTTATGTTAAAATCTCCGCAAATAATGACCGACTTTCGTTTTCTAGTCAGTCTTTTAAGTACATCTTCCATTACTGACTCGAACTTGTAATAATCTCCGGAAGGGGGCCGGTACACGCATACTATAACATAGTTCTCCAGTTCTACACAAGATAATTCAATAACACATTCAATTGATAGACTTACAATATCCTTACGATCTTTCGATTTGACAGTACTATTTATTAATATTAATGATCCGCCACGAATAGAACTACTTCTCATGAATACGCTACACAATTGGAAGTTGTCAATAACAATCGTTTCATAACTTCTTAGCCAATGTTCTGTAATACAAATAACTTCAATTTCGCGACTTTTTGTAAACAGTTCTAATTCTAATTCCTTGCCAGCCAAACCTTGTAGATTTTGATAAACAATATTTAATAGTGCTGGCTTGGCTTTTGTCTTAGGTGCTAGTTTAAATTTGTAAAATGTAAATTTTTCGTGACAATTTTACTACATGTCACCGTAGTAGTTTCTTTAAAATTACGCGATTTTTAAAAGAGGACTAGATTTTCATTTACGAAATCTTGTATCATATTATATATTTCCTCATTCATTGTAACTTTCACAAAATTAATGAAATTAATTGCGAGATAAAAATCGGGTATTACTATAAATACAATTTATTATTTAATTAAGATTATATTTTTATTTATATTTACCGTTATAAGAAAAATATCTTAAGTTAAAGTGGGTAAGTAACATAACAAATTATAAATGAATTATTAAATAACTAATTAGAATTTTTTAATTAGATTCTAACAAATATTTATCTATAAACCAACAAGTTTTCCACCAAATTGATTCAGTTTTTCGGATGCGGATCGAGTTATAGTGTTCAACAGGGATCCTGGTATCTGCAATAATAATAATCAAACTGTTAAAATATTCAGTTAAGAAACTTATACAATAAGTTTGACATAAGGAAGGAAGCGATCAGATTTGTTGTTGGCTATATTTAACATTTGAATAAGCTGAAAAATTTACTGCCGCGGTAAAGCTATTGCATAGCATTTTTTATAAACTTATGCAATATAATTATTGATTTAATTTTTTTCTTTGATATTAATTCAAGTTTTTTCTTTGATATTAATTCAATCTACCACTCTACCAGACTCAGACTAACTCGCCTATCCGATCACACTAAACCGATGTGAGACGCAGTATGCGTTTGTCCCGCTCTAACGCGTATTGGCCGCACCTATATTACGTCATCGTGTGTTAGTTTATTTCGTTATGGAATTTCTTGATTCGGTCGCCGCGCTCGAAGCCCGCGATAAAATCTACGGCGACGATCTATTACGACGGTAAATATAATGCTATGAAAATGTAGGATCTGTTACAAACAAATACCGTCCTCACAATCAAATAGAACCATATTGAATCTCACCGCAATCAATGAATTGATGAAGTTCGATATCCGCTCCGCACCGCCGACAATGGCTCGACCAGTGTTATAAAATTTATCACCTGTATTTCCGTACTTCTCCTCTTCCCGTATTGTATCCACTATCGGCTTCGGCTATTCAAAGCATAAAAAATATTATAAAAACATCTGTCAGTGATAAAGCGTTTTAATTCTTCACTTATGGTTTATCTAATGCATATATGTAATTTTATTTATATTATGCACAAAGCAATTCATATATAATGTACTTTTTGGGTCAAGTATACTTGACTTTCGACCTATGGTTGGGAAAATTATGGCGCATAATTGAATACAATTTTTTTATTGTTTATGAAGTTGTTTATACAGACAAATAGAGTGTAAATAAAATATTTGTATCCTATGGTACCTGTAAAATACCAGCGGCAACATGCTGAACGCCTTCGTTGACAGAAAGCACTTTACTTCCGAATCCTTCAGATTCCAGCAATGCACCTTCAATCTTAGTTCCATACCCCAACTGGAAATGAAAGAACTTATTTGTATCTAAATATCTCACTAAATAAGCGTAACATTTTCTATTTAAATGAATTTAATTAATGCTGTGGAAATTGTTCTTTAATCTGTTTAGAGAAAATGTAAAAGCTCCTTTAAAGCACGTATTCAAAAATATTTGCTTACTCGGGTTTTGTAATTAAGTATATCGTTTGCCGCTCCTATTTTATGATCCACTAAATTAGGTTTATTATTGTGTAGCGTGTCAACTCCAGGATGATTTTCAGGTAATAGGGGTTCAGCTAGATGAACATCAGATGGCCCTTTAAATGCGTCCGGATCTTCATATACTGGAAGATCGACTTTAATAGGATAATCTACTGGAGTAGCAAGCGTTCCTATTGTGTATATCGATAGTAATAATAGTGTTGAATGCATTCTGAAAAGAAAAAGAGGATTTACAGCGTCGTCTATAGAGTGTATTAACTAACATTCTAAAAGTATTAATGGTGTATCTTTTAGATACATATTATGAATCCTATGTATTTCATTCCGACAATCATAGAACAGGCACCTCGATCATATCTTTAAGGCCGTTTGTCCACCGCCGCCGTCAACGGGACGTCACCGAGAACTAGATTATTTCGGGCCGAGTTTAAAATGACGTGGCGGCGATCGTGTGTCCACCGCGCCGATAAATCAGTGGCTCAGTTCTAGAGCTTTGTCTTGTTTTTTAATCGCCAAGTTTTTTGTTTTACACAACGTTTGTAAGGAGCTGCAACCATTATATTAACAGCGGCACGTAAGTCTAGCGCTGGCCGATATGTGGGGGGGATTGCTGCGCATGTGTACTGTCGCGCACGCAATATGTACATTGTTTTATCTGGCTCAAATTTACAATGTTGCTGTCCGAATGACTGAACAAAGTATTTGTAGCTTCGTCAAACACTAACAAATTCGAACGTAACAAAAAACAACAAAACGTAACAACAGTAACAATAATATTAATGACGCGACTGTACACGGGATGTGCGTGGGGCGTCGTATCGGTGCGGGGGACGGAATGCGACTGGAGAGCCAATCGACGCTACCTTATTTTTTACTTCTGCGCAATAACGGTCAGCGCTCAGTTTCGTGCCGCTACTTGTACCATGTTCCACATGACATCTTAAGTAATAAATAATAATAAAGTATAAACAAAGACTTCTCCTCTATCAGCCGGAGGCATGGCGAAATAGGAGCACTTACATTTTCGTGGGAACAACATGCAAACAAGTGTGAACAACACGTATGGACAAGGACAAACGTGTTTTGTATAGCTGGCATATCGGCCCGTCGTAAAACCGGGCCGAGTTCTAGCGGTCACGCCGAACTACTCGAAATATCATTAAAATATCGGTGGCTGGGATGACGGCGCTCGGATGACGGGCGTGCGGTGGACACATCGCCATTATATTATTAAATGTATGTATCGCATAATCGGCGCCGTCATCTCGGTCTCGGTGACGGCGGCGGTGGACAAATGGCCTAAGGATATTTTTACTTAAACATTCTTATTTTAGTTAATAATCTAGTAAACATATTTTAATTATTATTGGATTACACTTTCGTGGTACTGCTAATAAAATAATGCTAATTCAATGGACAAGCGAATCGCCCATTTATCAAACACTGGCTGTTAGTCTACAGATTCAATCGGAACCTTAAAAGCTATATTCTTCTTTTCTTGATATGGTCATTAGATGAATTAATTACTAGCAGGGCTGAGTTCGCCGTTCTGGAGTTAAACTATAATAGTCGTATTATATTAATCTTACTCTGCGTGGAGCTGTATAGTTACTATTATAGTGTAATTATTTCTTTGGCTACCATACTCTTTGTGCAAAAGTCAGATGCCAATATTTTCGACATATCTCTAATGTGATTTATTTATTAGTTGAATTGACCAAGTATTAATAATATGTAACACAGTCATTTTATTAAAGTCCAGTATGGAAAAAATGCCAGAAGTGACCCGCTGTTTTGGTATGTTCCCGGCAAAACATGCAACTTATTTAATATCTTTGGTCGGATTGGGAATGGGAGGCATTGGATTAACTGGAATAGTGCTATACGGCCTAATAGAGAAGGCGGTAACAGCGTTTCTTTTCCAACATTCCAAAGGTCCAGTAGATGACACAGTGAAGAAATGTGTACTTCTAACAATTGGATTGACGTCTTTGCTCCTGACTATCGGCTGTGCCCTTATGTTTTTGGGAGCTACTTCCAGTAATCCCGGTCCCTTAGCAGTATCAGTATGGATTATATATGCAATGAACGTAATTGATATAACTTTATGTGTCGCAGCTCCGCTGTCTTGTTTCTTTATGGATACGTTATGTGTTGTAAAAAAATTGTCGTTCTCCTCAATAGTATTTCTGTTTTTATTAATGACTGTTTTTCTAGAACTCTGGGTGTACTTTATGCTTGTTGTAAATACTTATCTCATGGAAATAACATAAATAAATTATATAAATTTTTCAGCCTTACTTATTGGCAATATAATACCTATTTATTAGATATTTGTAAAAGAGATATGTATTACCATATCATATCAATGATAAAGTTACACACGTGACTTATCGTATAAGTACTATAATTATAAACAAATTAATTAATTAATTAATGTAAATAAAATAATGTTAACCTCATAATAATTAAAGTTAATTGCAATTAACTTAAGTAATGTATAAATCATTTACCTAAGTAAATACCTAATCAATCAATGAGATAAATACTAAAGCAGAACAAATCCTAATCTCCATAGTCTTAATGCCTATTACTTCGGGTCGCGGCCCGGGGTAAAAATAATTGTTTCACAATTAGGCACGGAAGGCTGATTACCTTTTTCTTAAAAGAACTCACAGTGCAAAAGACAAAGTCTGTACTCTTCTTTATTATTTTTTTAGAGAAATGCCTTTTAGATACTGTTAAGGATTATTTTATAATGGGCATACATTTTAATTAATGTTTCATCAAGCTTACGCTCGCTTACGTTTTTGGAAACAACGAAATCACATACGCAAAGCTTGGTATATAATAGTTCCAAAGTATAAAATTACCTATTACACGAGATAATAGTTTCGCATAGATTCCTAGATATTATATTAATATATTTTGTTTTAAATACGTTTATAGTGGTTTACTGGTTTCGTGACAAGTGTTATTTATAAATTTAATTTATTCGTTAGTTTGCTGATACCTTCATATAACTTTAAAATACATATGTGGAAGAGAATGACTCACCTTGTTAAGACACTGCTTTTAGTGTAAACTTACGTCTGCAGTGATTAAGTAACTCACTACTAACTAATTTCTGATGGCAAGTAGGGGCCGAGACTCACCTACTTTCACACGTTACGTCATGGAGCCTTGGAAGTTAGCACCGATGTGATATAAGGGTTCCCAAGTATTGCATCGCATCAAGTAAGCTTATCGATAAGATGGGTCATCAGGGTATTTCTTGGATTTGTTTTAGGCACCTAGCTAAGGGATTATATCGGTATACTATGGACACAAGTAATAATGTAACAGTTTGGTAATTTAGTTTAATCTAAAAATCAATATCTTGTTACTAATTTGTCCCGGACTTCCCGACACCTATAAATTTATTGTCAAATTTTTACTTTACTGAATCTCATAACTTTTATGATATAGGTACGCACTGTATGTAATGGGGAATTATTTATAATATTTTTTGCTAGTTCTAAAAAATTTAACATAACAGAACTTATTACAAAAAAATTAAGTTTTTCATGTTTTAAAAACATTACTTTTGTTAGTTAAGTTAAATTCCTTATACTCCTTTTATTTACGATTTAAAAACCTACCTAAAATCCTGTTGTTTGTAAAGATCGCATAAAAATATAACTATTGCACTTTTAACGCTACAAGGGTGGTAGCCAATACGAAACATGTTGCATAACTTATAAACTAACTAATAATAATATTAATAGAGATAATAGTAATTAATTTATTGTTAGGCTTGAGAACTTTTCCTTCCAAGCGGTAGCTTCAAATTATTAACGTCTTCAATATTTTTTTATTGCTTAAACATTATAAATAAACTAAGGGTACAAACATAAAAATAAAACCTCCAAGGGGTTAACATTGGGCCTGAATTATTTTTCCTCTGTGGAAGGCGAGGAAAAATTATATTATCAAATTTCACTTACTGCAATCATTGCAATGTTATCTGTCACTCATACTTTAACTCTGTCATTACTTACTATTCACTTCATACTTTTAGAAACTGTGAAAGTTGAGACGTAAACGTTGAGCGTTGAAACTTGTTTCTTGAAGGCTGCTTTGTAAATAGACAGTATGTAATTTTTATGGAAGTTTATAACACAAAGTGAAGAAATAGAGTTGTGACAAAAATAAGTTAATCTTTGGAGATACTAATAATTTATTTTTAATGATTTCAAACTACAAGATATGGGTAAAACTGTTAATATATTTCTCTGGGGCATCTTGGCAGCGTCAGCAACTTGGAGTGTTTCGTTGTACCTCTACTGGTTGCTCAGTGTGAGCGGTAAGTCTCGAAGAGATATTATAATTATGCTTTAATATTGGGGTATAAATCATTATCTTCTAATACTTAAGTATAGTTTCTTGTTGATGAAATGCACAAAACTGAAAACATTGTGTTTTTACCAATGACATGCCTATATTTTTAGGTTCTAATAAAATACAAAATGCAGAACACAGAATACAATATCATTTAGTAAACTCAGAAGAAAAATATAGATTGAAAAATAATGATAAGTCTATAGTTGGTTTAGAAGGAAATAATCTTTTGTACGATAACTTAAAAGCAAATTCTAAATATTCAAGTAGGCTGTGGAAAAATAATAGAGATCATTCCGAGTACTTGAGAAAAATGATGCTCAAAGAGATGTTTTCCCGGCAGTTTGGTCAGAAACCCCTTAAATTGGATAAAAGTCTGGGTAAATACATTTAAATAGTTTGTTTATAATGAATGATGAGTAATATCAATAAAACAGAATCTATTATATTAGCTTAAATGCTTGTCATGCTAAAAGACAATACTTCTGAGGAATTGAAAAATTCAATAAATAACTAAAATTTAAATTAAATTATCTTTTAATTACAGTGTAAACAATAATTTTATATTATTGTATTTAAAAACTAGGTTTTTAAATAATATTATGTAACAATGTTAATGTATTTACAGAAAATCAAAATGGGTTAATACGCAATGCAGAAGATGTAAGGATAAGAGAAAAGGGGTACATCTTACATGCATTTAATACACTCATCTCTCAGAGAATTGGAAATCATAGACAGTTACCTGATACAAGACATAAACTGTAAGTTTTACTTGTTGGATTTGTATATTTAAACTTAAGCTGACTAATAAACTATATGTGACAGGTTATATACACTTTTTTTGTGTAACAAAATTAATATTATTTATCCAAGCTAATGCTTACTTGTATTTCCTTCTACAATTATATTCTCAAAAAATCACCAATTAGTATTCTGATCTTATGGAAAATAATGGCATTTTAATTAAAACTATCCACTACTTAATAAACTAATTACAGGTGTAAATCCATGCAATATCCAGAGAGGCTACCTAAAGCATCAATAATAATTTGCTTTTACAATGAGCATTTTGAGACTCTCATGAGGTCCATACATTCAATATTAGATCGTACAGAACAAAGATACTTAAAAGAGATAGTATTGATTGATGACTTTAGTGACATAGAAAATTTACATACCAATATCCAAACAGCAGTTGATAAGTTGAATAATAGAATGAGAAAAGAGGAAGAAATGATTGAAACTAACAATATAGATGTTGAAAATATTGTTGATTATATTAATGATGATAATGGTGAGTTAAAAAAGACCACAGACCGTCAAGCAGGAAAATTGTCTAAAAGTGGCTTAAATATTAGGCTATTGAAAACTAGTAAGAGAGAGGGGTTGATAAGAGCAAGGTTGTATGGAGCAGATAATAGTGTAGGAGAGGTAAGTGAATAAGCTTACACCTTATCAAAAGGATCTAATAATTAAGAAATATTATACTATATCTTAATATATATAAATTATGTGTCACGTTGTTTGTCCGCTATGGACTCCTAAACTACTTAACCGATTTTAATCAAAATTACATACCGTGTGCAGTTTGAACTAACTTAAAAGATAGGATAGCTTACATATTCATTTATACGTAATATTATTTTATTGCGAATTATTTGTTTATTATTTAACAGTCACAATTCTAACAGATGTGTTGAAAGTACCAACGTTTCACATAAGCTACAATTTAATGGCATGGTCCCCATGGGTCCCCATGACTGGTGTTCTCCTACCGTTTCCCTTGAATAGTTTACTACTATGTAATATAACAAAAACTTTAGCCACAGCAAAGCTTGGCCGAGTCTGCTAGTATAATATATAGCAGTAATAATAATGAAAAATTGATAAATTTAAAAATTAAAACAAAATTTAAAATTTTAGTCCCTGTGCTAGTGTACCTTCAACGCTGGCTTCTTATTTGTTTGTTAATAATATATGAAATCTTTTACGCTACATTCCATGTATAGCTCATCTGAAGGCTAGAATAGTCTAATTACTGAGAACAAAGCCCATTATTATTTAATATGACTGTTATATAAAAAGATTAGTTGCCAGTATTTTTTTTGTTTCTATGTGTCATATATAGATTATGCGTAATTTTTTTTTTATTGTTAACTAATGAAAAAACAGGCAGGCTCATTTCAGGCACATCTCTTAAAATTTTAAAATATCCTATAACCATCATTGATAAATAAGTTGGATAGAACATATCCAGGCCTTATCCAGGCTGTCTTATTTGGGATCCATCTTTCCATATCTTATTTGGTTTACCTTGCTTGCGTGTGTAATTTAATGTGGTCCATTCTGTTACGATTATTGCCTCTTGTTTTTATTTTAGGTACTTATATTCCTGGATTCCCATATTGAGGTGAATGAGAATTGGCTACCCCCATTGCTGTCACAAATATCCCAAGGAGTGAATGGAGTCGAGACACGCTATTCATCAAAAGTTGTAGCTCCAATGATAGATGTTATTAATGCAGACACATTTGATTATACTGCAAGTCCATTAGTTCGTGGTGGCTTTAATTGGGGTCTGCACTATAAATGGGACAATGTACCTAAAAGTATCCTTAAAGGTAAACCACTTCTCATTTTCTTATTTATTTAATTTCTTATCAGTACTCCTACAGCTACTTTTTATACAATATCTAAACAAGTACATTATACACAAAAACCCAAAACAGAATACACATTCAAACATTAACACATAACACAGTTAACAATTATTATTACCTACACTATATATACTACATATACTACACAAAAAAATGAATTAAATTGTAAAATGCATTGATCATTGTAATATGTTTAATATAAAAGAGGAATAACAAAGGCATTATATCTAGTTCCAGCGAATCAATACCAAAGTACTTGCAGGAATCTATACGAGTATCTACTATGCTTTCAGAAATCTTAACTAGAGCGTCAACTTCATGTGATAATTTATATTCACTAAACTCCTAAACTTTATTGAGTGTCCATGGGCATCAACTTAACATGAGTTGGGCCTCTTGCTCATTTGCCCTCTGTTATATAAAAAGCTCTTAATTTCCTAAAACGTTAACTTACTTGGTGCATTGTACATACAGTGCAATGTACATACAGTGTTATGTCACCTTCCATATACAACAAGTCTCCGTCTGAAAAGGCGTTTGTTCCCACATTAGCCACAGATATATTGATTATCTTCATAAGCTGATGAATATATACTACCCACTTTATGATGAGGACCTTCATATCTTTAGTATGGGTTCACACACACCAAGATTCATGAGTGCCCTAATAGCAACTAGAAAATTATTTTCGCACAAATGACTTAAGTCCAACATATTTCACATGACAAATATACTTGAATTAGTTGTTCTGATATGATCATTATATGTATGTATGATATGTTTTTGTGATTTTCAGATGATGCAGATTTTGTAAAACCAATTAAGTCGCCGACTATAGCCGGTGGTCTCTTCGCTATATATAGGGAATATTTCAATAAAATTGGTAAATATGATTCCGGAATGAACCTGTGGGGTGGAGAAAATCTGGAAATCTCGTTTAGGGTAAGTTAAATAAGAGTAAGACTGTACCTGTTTTGCCACAGGGGAATCAGTCACACACGTAGTACTGGAATTCGTGACTGTGGCTTCTCAACGAACAGAAATCCTCAGACCAGTCGCGTCTCCGTGTCGCTCCGTGAAGCCTGCGAAGTGCCCAGGCAACTTTTGAGCTTCTGGAAGCTGCTAAGCTGGGTAAAACAGCTAGGACTTTACGTACAACGCACCAAATGGGCGTCTAAGTGCGTAAACTGAGTTCATACTACAACACTCGACTCTGAGGTCGTGGATTCAAAACCCAGCAATATTAGAATTATATAATATAATTATTTAACATGCGCAATTAACACAGTGAAGTAAAACATCAGATGTCAGATGATTAAGAATTGATGTAGGCTATTAAGAAAAATAATAATAAATCAGACGCTGAAACAAAAGGGCAAGAGCTTTGTGTCTTCAGAAGAAATCATGTTTTAAATTTATGCAAACCTGTTAACATTGTAAACTACTTCCATTATTTATTAGAATTAATCAGGTTAAACTAGCTTGTATCGACCGCTTATAATGGAGATGGACAGGTCACATGTAATGAAAACTTAATAAATGGAGCACACGGGTAACTGCATCTGCATGCGGGCATTCAAGAAAGTGGACCAGAAGACAGGGGGGCCCAAAATCACGATGGCTAGTTGACCTTGCCTTACCCTGGGGCCATACTGGATCAGAGTTACCAATGATAGAACTCATTGGAGCGAGCTGGGGCAGGACTTTGCCAAAAGGGTTACCGAATTGCGAGATATTTCATAAGTTCGACCTCAATGCGTATATAAATAAGTCATTATATTTCTGGGAAATTACATTTAAATTTGAGTAGTTCACTTTATATTGAATTTTAAGAAGTCGCTCAAAGATATTACGAGGCATGCCTTTTAAGTTTTGTCGTTTGCAGAAAAAAACAACTAGAACCTTATAGTACTTTTTATTGTTTTACAAAGTATTCACCACGTAGCTTAATACACTTTTCCATTCGCTCAAATCAGTTATTATAACATTTATTCCACTCTAAAGTGGAGGTGTTCAAAATGGCTGACTTGAAAGCGTCGACTGCTTCTTCACCGGACTGGAACCTTTAACCACGAAGACTTTTCTTAATTTTTGGAAATGTAAAGAAATCGTTAGGGCTTAGGTCATGACTGTATGGAGGATGGTCAAGAATTTCTACTTTTTCCTGCTTCAAATACTGAATTGTTTGACGAGCGCTGTGTGAGCTTGCGTTGTCGTGGTGCAGGATGATGCGTCGCTTTGAGTTAGATTTTCGAAGTTTGGCGATGACTTGTGGTAAACAAACTGTGGTATACCACTCTGCGTTAACCGTTCTACAATCTTCAAGTGCAATAGTCGCAACATGGCTGGTTTTTCCAACGAACGTGGCTACCATCTTCTTTGTAGTGCTTCGAGAACGAACGACTTTAGTCGGCTTTGGCTCGTCTTGAAAGACCCAGATTGTCGATTGTTGTTTGGAAACAGGATCGTAGGCATAGATCCAAGATTCGTCACCACTGATGATGTCATAGACGTGATTTGACTCTCCTCGGTTGAACCTTTGCTGAGTTTTCTTACACCATCTGACGCGGGCCGCCTTGTGATTGTCGGAAAGCAGATGCGGTATCCAACGGCAAACTAGCTTTCTCACACCAAGCGCTTCATGCAAGATCTTGTGAATGGTTGTCCCTGAGATGCCTAATAGAGCCTCTATCTCTTGATACGTCACATGATGATCTTAGAGAATTAGTTGTCTCACAGCAATGATGTTTTCTTCAGTGAAGGCGGATTTTGGGCGCCCTTCGCGAGATTTGTCACTAACACTAGTATGTCCACGCTGGAATTCTAAATACCAGTGTTGGACAGTCCGCAGACATGGGGCTTCATCACTGAACACAGATATTAGCTCTTCAAAACACTGAAGTCGTGTCAGGCCTCTTCTAAAGTTGTAGAAAATTATTGCACGAACATTTTCCTTAGAAAGATTCATTTTCGTACGTAACTTGACAGATTCAAATCGACGCTGTGACTAAACAAAAGCATTATTCCTAATACTTTTAACTGTTTTGAGATTCAAAATTTAAACACATTCGAATATAGTGCAGGTCCAAATTCAAAATTGCCGGGAAATATGGAAACGACAGAACTTAAAAGGCATGGCAGGCAAGACATGATGATAAACATATTTGGACAGTATAAGATGAATGTGGATAAAGTGCGAGCACAAAATACACAAATAATTATCGTACAATATTTAATTTAGATTAATTCCTATTAACACTAGCTTATATTCTAACAAGCAGCAGGTTCAAAGCACCGATCTCACTTTTATTTATTTGGTATCACAACAATTTATTTGGCTGTAACAATATTCGTATTTTTATTAGTTAGGTAACGATTTCAAACCATGAAACTAATTAAGTTAAATAATGATTCTTAAAAGTAATAGAAGAAATCAACCAAAGCAACAATAAAAATCAAGGTCAATTGACTCGATCATAACACTTCCTGATATATATATATATATATATATATTGTATATTATGTATACTAGCTGTTTTCATTTATAATTAAATCTTTTTGTATTTTTAGATATGGATGTGTGGTGGGAAATTGGAATTAATACCTTGCAGTCGTGTGGGTCACGTGTTCAGGAAACGTAGGCCGTATGGCCTTGGTAATAAAGAGGACTTTATGCTACATAATTCTATGCGAATGGCGCGTGTGTGGATGGACGAATACGTTGTAAGCATTTCATTATAGAAATATTTTATTAATAAGTATTCAGAATTCTTTATTAAAATTTCTTACCTTGATGCTGATTTTAAAGCATTTATTATTTGTAAAACAATTACAATATACAACTTGCGTTTCGATAACAGAGACAATCTGTAAAGAGGCACATGGCATATATATGTTTCCTTTTTTTTATTTCCAACTATTAATATTTGTACTTGGATGAGATGTATATGAAAATATGTATTAAATTATATATAATGAAATACATATATAATTTAATTATAAACAATTAATTTACAATATATATAAATTAAATGTTTCTAATCTTTTCATAATTAATTACATGCATATGACTTAGTAATTATTGGAAAAGACTCACCATAATTCAGCCATAAATTATAATAATAGACGATAAAGATATATACCCATTTTATAAAACAAATTATTGAACAGATACAAAACTATTTTAAAAGGAACAACATACGTTATTAATTTCGTGGTATTTAACCTGTATGTATGTGTTAATTTAGAGGTACATAATAATACTACATACACACACTAGACAAACAACTAACACTTACAATATTAAATTTTGTAAGTGTTAGTATGTATGTCCACTACAAATGTCTGAGAAACTAAAAGTCAATAGAACATCCAGAAATTATGTGGTTAAAATATTTATTTTTCAATTGACAGGTGTTTTATTATATTTTCAGAATAAAGTGATTGAACACAACCCAGCAGCTGCTCACGTCGCCATAGGTGATATTTCTGAACGTCAAAAACTTCGCCAGGACCTGAAATGCAAGTCCTTCAAGTGGTATCTTGAGAATGTTTACCCAGAACTGGAGGGTGGGGAAGATTCAATAGCTAAGAAAAGGATTCAAGCCCTCAATGATCCAGACAAGAACAAATTTCAGCCGTGGCATTCTAGGTAAGATACAAAACAGAGACATTCTTGATCAGTGTTTTATTAATAGGCAATTATTTTGTTTTACTATTAAATTTTCTTATGCGATACTAAAATCAGACTAAGATAGGACACACTTAGTGTTAGAATATGCTTCCCTACTTGAACGCTGAAAAGGAAGATCTTTTCAAAATTATATTTAGTTGTTAGAAACATAAAAAAATATGTTGTTATATATATAATGTTTATTACTTTAATATTCAACTTGAAAAAATATTAAAATGTGTCAATAGAACATTTACTCCACGGGCTTTTGATCCTAAACTTGCAGTACTTCGTTTTGCGTATCAAATTGATCAAATTTTTTAATAGTATAGTTGGCAGGAGGCTCACCTTAGTTAAAACGCCGCTCATGAACACTCAATGCCAGTAAGCTCGCGAGTGCGTTGCCAGCCTTTTTAAAAAAAAAGACGCTCTTTTCTTGAAAGACCCTAAGTCGAATTGGATCGGAAATACTTCCGTGGGCAGCTGGTTCAATATAGTGAAGTTTCGCGGCAAAAACTGGCGCAAATGGCGCTCATTTGTGGAACGACGTCGTGATACGGGAAAATAGAATTAAATGTATAATAAAAAACAACTGTTTCAGAAAACGAAATTACACTGATTCTTATCAAATAAGATTGAAGAACACGAGCCTTTGTATACAAAGTGCGAAGGACATCAAGACTAAAGGTAGTGGGCTCGTACTAGTGAACTGTATTAGGAGTCTTAATCAGGTAATTATGTTGTCTTTATTAGAACAGTATTAAAGTTATTCCAGTTATGTATATTATATGTATATTATATATTATATGTTAGCTTGGGTACTCTTTGGTTTTGATTAATTTTCCTTTCTTTTTACGATATTAACTCTTATACATACCAATAGCGCTACAACCTTTTGTGTCTGGGACTCAGATTTCTCTATGCCGTGATTATTTCTAATAGGCAAGAAGGTGATCAACCTTCTGCCTGACATACCCTCCACTTTATGCGTGTAGGGCGTACCTGTTGTCCTCACAATATTTACCGTACTAGCGAGTGTTAAATGTACATAAAGTTAGTTGGTGCACAGCCGTGTATCGCACCTACGACCTCAGGGATGAGAGTCGCATGAATCCTTTTTACTCTTATAAGGAAGAAAATTCGTAAGGTTTCACGGTTTAACCAAATATCTTCACGTGCTATTCGCCATGCTATTTGCCGGTACGGTGGGTTATACCCTATAATTGGTGTATCTTAAGGGTCATATATCAGCCTCAGTAATTTATTTTAGTGGATACCGAGAATTTTGAATAGGTAACCATCCTGGACACAAGACCGTACAAATTCTATACACAATCACCTACTCTTCATTATTATGCCACGTCAAGATAATGCAAAACAGTAGTAGATAATAATGCAAGTATGCATGCTTTTGACCAAATAAACGAAACGTTAGTGTTTTTTTTAATACTTAACTAATTTTTAGGTTTGGTTTGAAACGGATCGAAGTGAACTAGTATTAGCACGTACACTGTGTCTCGATGCTGTTAATAATGTATCACCGTTACTTGGAAAGTGTCATGAGCTGGGAAGTACACAGGAGTGGAAGCATAAGGGTTCGGTGAGTAAAACGATATACTTCAATTATTTTTGATGTTTGGATTGACAATGACTTAGATGGACGATGGCGTTGTCGTTTTTTTTTAGGTTTTTTCAAAATTATTCAAAAGCGCAACACCAAAAATTTATTTAAAAAAATATCAATTTCAATTTTTCTCCTGATTTATAAAAACGATTCAACACTAGTTGTTTATCAATATTAAAGCAATAACTAACGGAAAAATTAAAAAATGCGAGACGGGAAACTATTTTATTTAAATATCTTTTGAGATTTTTTCTTCCCAATATGATTTTGATTGATTTGTTTTTTTTTCTAACATGCCTTTGAAAAAACGTTATGAAACTTGGCTTGTAGATTGTTTTAAAAATATAACTTCTTAGAGCTTCAACAATGCATAACAACTAGGAACTTATTTCAAAGAAACTGAAAAAAAAAAAAGATCACAAACGAAGCAGGCGGAAATTCGTATTCGAACCTGCGGTTAGCTAAGGTCGTGCTTATGATCATATGGGGGTAAATATTCCTTACATATGAAATAGACGTTTTGTCGTACTGGCCACTTTGACCTCAAATATCTCCTCTTTGGTTCGGAATTCCAGATTCAATTTTATTTTCCCGTTTTTTTTTCTTTGCTTCACTTTATAAATTGGGAAACATGAAATATCGCGTTATTTCAAAAATTCAAAATTCAAAAATCATTTATTCACGTAGGTAACACAATGTACACTTGTGATTCGTCATTAAAGAAATAAATATTCATGCTTCTAATTTTACATTTACTGCCAGTTCTCAAATCAAGGGCGTAGAACGGAAGAGAAGAACTGGCAATAAACTCTCCGCCACTCTTTTTAATCGCCATGTTTTTTTTTTTTTACACAACGTTTGTAAGGAGCTGCAACCATTACACCATGTTCCACATGACATTTTAAGTAATTAATAATAATAACATAAATAAAAACAAAGACTTGTCCCCTATCAGCAGGAGGCATGGTGAAATAGGAGCACGCACTTACATTCTCGTGGGAACAACACGCAAACACATAGTCGAAATAATTAACATCACCGCATACACGAATTCAAGTACGACCAGTCACCACAAGTAGCACCCGTTCACGAGTATGACGCATGGCCAGCCATCGGCCCCCTCGCCATATTTTAGGGAGAGAGACAACCCGACGCATGGACGCCGCCACAAGCTATGACATTTAAGCGAGCATGACGATCCTTGAAATGTGGACTTGGCTACATAAGAAAATAATAATAATACTGAAATAATTGGATACCACATGGATCACGGTTTGTTCCCACTTTACATTAAAACAGTCGTGGATGTTGACGATCACCCCAGAGTCTGGAAATGCAGCCGAGAGATTCAGTCGTGTTACCTATAATATATACTGGAGCAACTCATATCCAAGCACTAGGATCGTTTAAATATTCATTTATATTATAATAAGCCTTAGCCAGCAGTTTTACTTTAATGTACGATTTAAATTTATTTATTGACAACGCTTGTATCTCACTAGGGATTTTGTTGAAAAAACGTATACAATTGCCTTGGAAAGAATTACTCGTTTTATGCAGCCTTCTGGTTGGTGCGCTAATTTTGTCTTTATTACGAGTTCTATAATTATGGAAGCTACTATTCTTTTTAAAGATATCTATATTTTTCCGCACATACAAAATATTCTCATAAATGTATTGACTTGCCAGAGTCAAAATATGTAATTCCTTAAATTTGCTTCGGACCGACTCCCGTGGGGACAACCCACAGATCGCTCTTATAGCCCGCTTTTGCACTACAAATATCGATTTAATGTCAGCTGCATTACCCCACAAAATAACACCATATGACATAATACTATGAAAATAGCTGAAATAAACAAGCTTTGCTGTGTTCTCATCCGTAAGATCGCGTATCTTTTTTACTGCGAACGCTGCGGAACTTAGCCTATTCGAAAGACCTTCTATGTGTCGGCCCCACTGGAGTTTACTATCTAAAGTAATTCCCAAGAATACCGCATTATCAACAAAGTCTATTTCCTCGTCTTTAATTATTATTTGAGAATGACTACTTTTTACATTTGTAGTTACAAATTTAACACATTTTGTCTTCTTTTCGTTTAACTTAAGATTATTTGTATTAAACCAGTGAACTACACTGGAGATGGCACTGTTTACGTTATCAAGTGATGGATTTTGTCGTTTCACTTTAAATAAAAGCGAAGTGTCATCAGCAAACAGTACTATCTCGTGAAGCTCCTTTACAAGAAATGGCAGGTCATTTATATAGACGAGGAATAAGAAGGGACCAAGTATGGAGCCTTGCGGTACTCCCATAGTAACAGAGGATCCCTGTGATATAGCTCCATTTACATTTACCTTTTGAATTCTATCGCTCAGGTATGATTCCACAAGATTTAGCGCTTTTTCGCCAATGCCATAGTGTTGAAGTTTCTTGATTAGGATTTCGTGATGGACACAGTCAAAAGCCTTTGATAAGTCGCAAAAAACTCCAATGGCATCATGAGAATTTTCCCAAGCATTTAAAATCTCGGAAATTAATTGAATGCCAGCATCTGCTGTGGAGCGACCTCTTGTAAAACCATACTGCTGGCTATGCATAATTTTATTATTATTAAAATGTATCAATAATTGTTCAAGAATGATTTTTTCAAAGATTTTACTCAAAGCCGGCAGCACAGATATGGGTCTAAAATTTGTGGGGTCCGAAGTGCTGCCCGTTTTGAATAACGGTGTGATTTTACTTATCTTCATCTGGTCTGGAAAGACTCCACAATCTATACATTCATTAAATATTATAGCCAACTCTGAACTGATAGTATTGATTACTGATTGTAAAATGAAAACAGATACACCCCAAAGATCTTTAGTTTTTTTTTATTTTTAGCTTTTTAAATGTTTTTATAATGTCATTGCAGCTTATGATTGCATACAGGAACATTCTTTTTCAATAATAAAAGGGCGGCTGTTTACGAGTACAAGATCCACCGTGTCACCAGTGCTGCAGAAACGGCTCGAAGGATGATGTGTATGGCGGTGGTGTCGAAAAAAAACACAGCGCGTTCATGGTTCCAACGTTTTCGTTCTGGAAATTTCGAACAGCAGAACAAGCTCTGTGGACGGTCGGAGACCAAAGTTGATAACGAAGAATTGAAGGCTATTGTAGAAGCGGATCCATCTCAAACTACGTCTGAGTTAGCTGCAGGCTGCGGTGTTAGTGATGAAACTGTATTCATCCTCTTGAAGCAAATCGGGAAGGTGAATAAGCTTGAAAGGTGTGTGGGAAAACCTCACAAATTGAGTGAAGCAAATCGACAAACGCTCGTCTTCTGCTGTGTTACATTACTCAACCGCGAAATAATTAAGGGAATTTAAATCGAATCATTACCTGTGATGAAACGTGGATCCTGTACGATAATCGGAAGCGCTCATCGGAATGGTTGAACCCGCCCAAATCGTGTCCCAAGCGAAAATTGACTCCGAAAAAGAGAACTCGTGAACGTTTGGTGGACTAATTACTGCTGCCACTGCTGCTTCACGACAACGCTAGACCACACATGACACACTGCACGATATACTGTCACCAAATTACTGTGGAGCTTACTCCCTGGACCTTGCTCCAAAAGAATTCCCATTATTTTCGAAATTTGGATAACTTCTTGCAAGGTAAAAAATTCAACTCTGATGGGGCAATCGAAACACCTTGATTTGAAATTGAATTAAATATATTCTATTTAAAAAAATCTACCTTTCGTTCCGCCCATACAAAACGCCAATTTCATATGTAAGGCCCTAATATTATCACAAATAGTCAACCCTATCACCTACCGACTTGAAATACCAATATCCCTGTATATTAATTAATAATATTTACGGCTTTCTAGGCTGGGAGCCCAATTTATAACGCAGCAGCTGGAATGTGTTTGGGAGTCGATCGCGCCTACCGGAATGAACCTATTTTGATGGTAATTTGCAACAACGAATCGAAAAATCAATGGGATTTTATTAGATCGTAAACTATAATACTTTTAGATATAGAAATAATGATTAATTAACATTTTGCAATATTCAGATTCTGTTGTATTGTAACTTCTCTACTGTAATATACGAATCTCATGTGAATTTCAAATTAAGTATTAAGTTTTGGGACTAGATTTAATTCAGATTATTTAATTATTTTTTTATTACACCTTTTAATGAAATATATTAACTGTTGTGTTAATTTTACAACGAATTAAGAGTGATGCTAAATAGTCATGGATCGAACCTAACCGTTTAGCTTTTTGAAGACTTTTTTAATAATACAATTACGTAAATTGTGTATACATTTGTTGAAAATTATAAGGCCTACATCAGTGTGCAACTCTCAACCCTGCGTAGTGTCGTAGGTTCGATCCTCGGCCGTGTACCAATGGACTTTCTGTTTATGTGCTGTTCCTCGTACGGTAAAGGAAAACATTGAAACCGGCATGTCTCAAATCCAAATATCGGTTGACAGAAGGCTGATCACCTACTTGTGTATGAAATAATGATCAAAGAAACGAATGAAATCTGAGTCCTTATAGGGATGTAGCGCTAAAGCTACGGTTTCCTAGAAAAGCGGTGCCGTTAACTAACGGCCGTCATTTTACGGTTTTTAATAACGGCCGTCTTTACGGTGGCCAAGCTGTGGTTTCCTAGAAAGTAGTCCGACCGTATTTTTGAAGTGTTATTCCAAATTTGTTCCACAAATTTTGCTTCATCTGAGTTTGTCTGTACTCTTTGGATTTGATATTGTACAAAGCTTCATGATTTTTAACAAAATCAATTAATTGTTCATCATTTTCGCTCGTCCAAGTTATTGTATTAATTAAATATGCGCACCGCTACACGCGTAAAACGTTGAACTACTGTTTATCACCGCTATGATGGCCGTCATGCAAATGAAGTCACCGCTATTTGAGGTTACGGTGACACAACGTTCTCTAGAAAATCTACTCCCATGTTATTTATACACAACGTATGGGTGACGTCACCCAACGTTACATCACGGCCTTAAGTTAACGGCACCGCTTTTCTAGGAAACCGAAGCTTAATATATTATCATTATTATTAATCTGGTATTCCAGAAATTCTAAGCTACGCCTCTAGGTTTTAATTGGATGTTCATTTATTTCACAATTTAACGGGAAATACTAATATGACACCCTTCCGAAGATCAGTGTCTCGTACAACGGAGGTTCAGTTACCGACAAAATAATAATTGTGTTCCAGATAGATTACTTGCTTTAAAATAATCGATTAAAACTTATTTTTGGCGATCCTTTAATTTTGCTAATTGTAAAATAATTTTAAGTTAAACGCGAAACTGTTTTAACTTGTTATCTCATTTTATTTCATAATTACAGAAGTGCTTTAATTAAATTAGCGTAATAAATTAATTATCATGTCATAAAATATTTCTATTGTACTAAAACAGTACTATAGAAATATGCATTACCAGCGAAATTTTATATATTTAATGACGAAATTGAATAGAAGTCAACTTCTATGAAGAGGGCCTTCCAATATATATATATCATACGAATAATGCTTTATTTAAGTATTTCGTATGCTCTCACTTCATTGCTACTCGAGGTACCATTTAAATTTAAAGGCAAAATTTTTCGGTTATAAGCGAATATTTACGAGGGTGATACAAATAACAAATTGAAGAATATTCTCAGTGATTCTAATTGAACATAACAAGTTGTCTAACAACAGTTGCATGTGGAGTAAGCTCTAGGCGTTATCTGTCTACTTGAAATAACGAGTCGACATGTCGCGACGTACTTCAAGACATGTCGAAACCCTCCACGCAAGAATGTATTCCGAAAGACTTTTTTTATTTGGAATTATAAATTCTTTTTTTTTTGTAAAACATTTGGTATGGCGGTATTTTTTGTAGATATTAATCCCTTCTATAAAACTATGCTGTCACTGTGCTCTCTTGTGAATAGTTACGCGTATGCGATATGGGGATTTTTATTACACCTTGGTTTACATTATCGAAGTTATTCGGATCTCTTGTGTTCATCAGATGTAATGGTGAACATTTTTTCAAATCTGTCCCGTAGTTTTAGGCTATGTTCACATGTAACGCGCGTCAACGCGCGATCAAATTTGAAGAGAGTTCAGATGATGAGCGCTAATGCGCGTTGCGAGAGTACTCGTCAGTCTAGTTCGGTAGGATTCCGAACCTATATTTCAAATTGCTGGCCTTTTTTCTACTTCATCGATTAGTAAGTCGATGTCAATATCTTCAAATTCACTCATTTTAAATGCGAAAACAAAATATAATTACGAAAATTAACAAAATTACATGCGATCGCGATGAAAGCGCGCGCTCAACTGAACAGCAAACAGACATTACATTAATATCAAAGTGCGCGTCAACGCGCGATCACCTGCGTCTAGAGACTTTTTCTCTGAGCGCCGCGTTAACGCGCGTTAGCGAGCGTGAACAGTTGTATGAAAATACCACAATGTCTAGTCGCGCGATTTGAAAACGCGCGTCAAATTTTTGCCATCTGAACGTAGCCTTAGAATCTAGAGTTTCACAAACACAAAACTTTTATCTTTTTGTAATTTGAAGTAATTGCGAATAAAGCACGTGTATCGAACACGTCTATAAAGCCAAAATGCCAATTTTTCTAAGGTATCTGTAGAATTTTTGTTTAATTGTAAACATTCTATGTTCAACGAGAACGACAATGTGAGGGAAAAGTATTGACCCCAAAAATCTACTTGTGTCACATACGACCTTTAAATCAATGAAACATGGATCTCGTATGCATCACATTGTACCTGGACGTTTTTGTGTACTTAACGTTAGAAAATAGACCTGAAATAATTGATGAATAGTCAAGCTGTTAATTTTATCTTGGTTTATCATATTTTAAAATCATTTATGAACTTAATTTTTTTTTATTTACGCGAGTGTCACATTTTAATAAATTTACTTTACCGTATTATAGCGAAAAATTTTACAATTATAAATTTTAATTCGGTAAAATCCTACTGATAATACTCTTGAATTTACGTGAAAGTTGTGATTATTTAGATTTAATTATATTAGTCTTAAGTACATTTAATGATTGTAAAGTGGGTGTAAATATTAAAAATCTTACATTCCGCGTTATTTTTACATTAAATATTCAACATGTTTTATGGTTTCTAATATTTGTTTATGTATTTTGATTTTATTATATTTAGGCTCTCAAACATCACACATGTTAAAACAAAGGCAATCAAACACTTATGAAATATGTTAAATATAACATACCAATTATTAATAGGCCAGCAACGCAATCGCGAGCCCTCTGGCATTGAGTGTGGCGGTATCACTTAACATCAGGTGTGCCTCTTGCCTATTTAGCCCCACCTGCTCTATAAAAAAAAATTTATCACATTTTTTTTTTACTTTTTATTAAGTTAAACAATTTTGCAATGTTAAAAAGAGATAATATGTTATAAGTTAAGTAAAAAGCATGTGGAATTAGATAGAAGTCCTTTGCGCTTTTTTAATATGATTTTCATTTGTTCTTATTCAGGAATCTTACGTATTAATATAAGAATTTGTTGTTTACTGTTTTATACAATGTAGAAGTTATTTAAAATATATTTTGTGTTTTAATATGTAAAATAAATAATAGATAATATTTGTTGTTTCATTACAAATTTGGTAACTGATCATTTTAAATAATTGGCTTTATTATAAAACGTGGACAATAGCAACGCTTTTGTTAGCATGGTAAAAAATTTTTTACTTAGAGAAATCATCATAAAATAACAGTAAATAATGGTAATTAAATGTATCGTAAGTAAACGTTTTTTAATAAGGCCGAATAATTAATACATTAGCAATATTTAAATAAAAGTCTGGAGTTCGTTGGTTGGTTAGTGCCTGTCTAAACACTGACTGGCCGTTCCGGTAGTCTCTATGGCTAACGTCAAAAAGCTGTATATATCCTTAGCAGTCAGCACGACTTAGCGCATTCTTCTCGCTTCTCACGCATTCGCTCTTTAACGGATATGTAGCGCGAATGTATGTGAACAAAAACAAGTTCGTGTTTATATCTAAACGCTGATTGTGTTTAGCGCCATCTAGTGACGGTTTATTGAACTATTAAAGTAAATAAATTATAGGTTTCCAAATTCTTACTAGAGGGCGCTTTAACAATTTTAATTTAAAAAAAGCTAGTGTTAAATGCGAATCGCCAGCTCAAGCTTTGGAACTCAAATTTTGCTCAAGCCTACACTGCTCTTTTTAGTCATACACTAATAACAAGAATTTGCTATATAATAAAATGTAGGCATTATCTTTTAAGATTACAATTTGTTTAAGATGACAATTATCAAGTAAAAACTACAACTAAAAGATTTCAGAGGGTGAAATAAAACACCAATTTGATATGTTAATCAACATTTATTTTAACATTTAAAATTACATAAAAAGAAGGCAAATAGCCTTAAAAGTCTTTGATTATTTATTACGACCTACAGAATTGATTTCATTTATAGAGTGTTAACAATGAAAAGAACAAAACATGCGGTCATGACAATTGACCACACTAAATGACAAGAATTATAGCATGTTTTAAAGCATATAGTTGTTTACAGCTCTGGAATTTGGCTCCAATTTTTGCGGAAATCCAGTTTAGGCTACATACATACATACAATTTTATAGAACCCTCCGGTGTGAGCCGGTCACAAATAGATTTTGCAGATAATTGTAGACATTTGTGTAGATAAAAGCTAAATTTTTGAACAAGCATAAAATATGTAGGTTTGATATGTTGAGAATAAAATATTGTATTTTTGGTCATAAAATTATGTTATGATAGAATTATCTTACAAAAATCTACCCCCTTTCTGCTTACAACTATAAAATAAAAAACTTCGGAATATCAGCAAACATTATAAATATTTTTTTTATTTCTGCATAAAGAAATCTAATTTGGAGGTAGATTTCGACATAAATACTCCAAAAATAAT